ACATTATTTGATGTGAATACTATGTTCTTATAAGGAAAATCAGTTCTCACTTATTCAGCTAGAGACTTGTGCTGATGTGGTTACTATACATTTCTCTTTGGTTCAAGAAATCAAACAGCATGGCACAGTAGCCAATACGATAAGTTTTAATTTGCATGGGTATTAAAATTGGAAGAGTATATCCTCAATCAAAGCAATGTCACCCTCATATTTTCCTGTCTTTGAAAAAGAGTTCTGAGAGTGTTTGACGATTGGTTATGGATGGCAAGATCATGGCATGACCATGTGGGTTCACAATACCTTGAAAAAATTATAAAATGGGGGGAAAGAAAAGAAAAAGGCAAAGAGAGCCAAGATGAAGGCTGGTGCGTTGTTGTTCCCAAAAGGAAATTTCTTTCAATCAGTGTCCATATTATATGTTCTGTGAGGGCTGGAAATGAGTTGTGGGAAGAGGAAGAAAGGAATCCCTCAGAAGATTTAACAAGGCTTTCTGATGTGGCCAGAGGTCTGACCATGAATAATACATGAGGGCTGAGAGAGGTGGAAGAACAGACATTTTGGCTCTGTCGGACCATAGAGTTTGAAGGAAAAGTGGGCATGTTGGCTCTGATGGGTTTGCAGTTTTACTGTCTTGGCCAGTGGAGGTTTCAACCTCCTCTGCTTTGCCTTGTTTTTGCACTCAGAGCTTTAGTCCAGTGCAGCATGGTCCCTTGAGACAGAACTGCTCCAAAGGCCTCTCTTAATACTTTGGCTTAAAGTGTTGTGTAAGGTTGATGGTTTTTACTGCTTGGGTGGTTGTTATTTGAAGAAATTACTGAACAGTGTTGGGGGTTCTATGTTGTTTGGAGCAGGGGGCTCTGGTGGTTCATTCAAACCCTCAGTGTGTCTGTTCTCGGTTACATCTGAAGGTCACACAGCTCCACTGCCAGCCCTTTAATACTGCCATTCTGGACTTAAGGGTCTTCCACAAAGATTAGTTTTACCTCAGGATGTTGCGTGTCTGTATGTGAAATAGTGTGTGTGTGTGTGTGTGTGTGTGTGTGTGTGTGTGTGTGTGTGTGTGTGTGTTACAGAGAGAGAGAGATAAAGAGAGAATTTTATAGCTGCAGATTCTTTCTTTGTTTGTTACTGTGAATGGTTGCTGCTGGGGATGTCTGCATGTGTGTGCCTGCATGTACATCTGGATAGGCTGGCCTGTGCTATAATTCATATAGTCTCATTAAATGCTGAAAGTTTTGGCTTTAAAGTCACTGTGACCCCCAGTCTGCTGTACAGACCAGGACCTGCATACTGAGCAGAACTCTGATTGATCTGCCTAAGTAGCTACAATTAACAGGGACGTTCTTCGTCCGGAATTGGCCCTTTCCCTGTTGCATGCGGGCAGACACGCCTGAGCGCATATATACTCATTAGATGCCACAATGAATTCATGCGCTGAACGGAAATGTAAAGTGTTTGATCCTAATGGGGAGTTAGTCACCTTTGACACCTAAACTCCGCCCTTTAATGATTATTCATAGAGTAACTTGGCCCTTGAACAGAAAACAGATGACATGAAACGATATATATAAAGCAAAAAAAGACTCATTACACTGGGGAGGGGTTGCCGAATTGCCTGATGACGATGACCTTTGTTCAAAATCCCGAAATGCATTACCAATTTAATGAGTCACATCACATCAGTATGGAAAGTACCTCTGTACTAGTGTTACGTAAATGGATTTCGACTGGTCTTGTGTTCCTAAGACCCTCAAAAGTGATATGACAGTGAATACGACAAGTCTAAGCAACAAGGATTTGCAATTCTTACCCCAGATATCCAGAAATCTGATGTTGCCTTTAAAGTTGTGTAACCATTAAACCATTTCATGTATTTTATGAATGTTGGTGACATGCAATGTAAATGGAAGTAAAAGAGCTACATTAAAACCTAGCTGTTTTTCAGAGAGCTGTGTCAATGTGTGGTTCACAGCTTAGTCCCTTTAGTCAAGAAAACCACTGACTGCCTCCATCACCTTGCCTTGCTGCCCAAAATACATTTCTTGGACAATCATCAAAAGTCTGACTCAGACTGAGGAGCTTTGGGGCCCTGGAAATGGAAACTGATTTAGCACTGCACTCTCAAGACAATTCCGCATAAAATCTAATATGGTCAGCCAAACAGAGAGAGCACGAGAGGGTGAGGTAAAAAGGAACTAGAAGTTGCCACAACACCCTTCAGGAGACCTCAGTCAGCTTCCACTTTCTGTTGCTTCCCATGGTCACTTTCAACCTAAAACTTTAATGTTTTTAGCAAAAAAATGGGGTTGACAGTGAAATGGGAAAAGGCAGAGGTGACATTTGATCAAATTGATATTTATGGTGGCTGTTCATTTCTTATCCCATATTTATGAATTGCCGAGTCCTTGGCAAACCCATCAGTTTCTTATCCTCTGCCACTGCTTGCAGTTTGTCCCTGTGGTGTAAAGGGGGGTAACTCATCACAACCGAACAGAGCACTTTGCATTAAAATCTTGGCACTGGTGTTTGCATCTGGGTTGTGGGGATCATATACTGTAATTCATAGTGTAATATTTAGTACCCAGGACTTTGAGCTGTCTTGGGACCCAGCTTAGAGCCAGAGGTGATTCTGGCGCTCTCTGTCCTAGTAGTACCACTCCAAATGCACATGTGCCAGACACTACATGAGCCCCCTCAATGCTTCATCTTTCCCTTTCTCTTAAGTGATAAAGCATCTCCTGAGGCATGCAGGTTCACTTTATCAGTCTTGGACATGCCGTTTTAAATCAAGGCCAGTGTCGTACGACGTGGCTTCACATTTCCACCTTATTTTCATTATACCATGCAGTCTCCAGGGCACACCACAATTAAGGGAAAAAATTATGATCTGGTCAGATAAATAACTTAATTATGCCCAATATGAAAATATAAAAGAGACTGCCAATAACGTGTGTGTGTGTGTGTGTGTGTGTGTGTGTGTGTGTGTGTGTGTGTGTGTGTGTGTGTGTGTGTGTGTATAATTTATATTCAGTGAAGGAAATTCACAAACAAGAGTTAGAACTAATAATACAGTAACCTGACCTGTTGGCAATCATATTTGCTTAAAAGGCAGATTAGGTATATACTAAGACAGTTTTGGTAATACCTAAAGCTGTTTCATGAAACCTTTCATTTTATTGCTTTAACAACCCAGTGTACGGTTGGTCTGTCTCATTTAGTGAACTGAGAGGTTAACACCCCTTCATCTGGGTAGGAAATAGGGTCAACCCCAGCCGTGATCCTGACCTTGACCTTAACCTTTTCTGTCTTGAACATGACTGTTTGACTGGTGAATGCTTGCTTCAGTGGAAATCTCTTAACAAAGGGTTGAGGTCATTGGCATCACTGTCTTACAAGTGAGGGAATGACGGGCAGACCAGCTACACGCTGGAAGCAGCTTTGCGAGACAAGAGAATTATTTAAGCTTCATCAGTGACATACTTTCTTTTCTACTCTCTGCTCCATTTTCCTGATGTCTGCCCGCAGTGTGGCTAAAAAAGCCAAATCACTGACATTTTGATCTACCATCTCTCTTTTCTCATTGTCTTATTTCTCCCTTGCGCTTTGTCCTACCTGCTGCCTAAAACTCTTTCAAAAATCCTTTTCACTCTCTCTCTCCGACCCTCCAGGTGACTTCAGCTGAACTAATGGAAACTACTATACAGTGAGGCTGTGGCCCCACTGCAGCGATAGCTTACTACTACCTACAGTATAAACGAAGGGTGGTCTGTTTTCATCAAAATGAAAGCTAATCCTTTCTACATCCATAAACCTGCACGCTTTTAATTGATCTTAGGAGAGCTCTACAGTGCAGTCAGTCACGTATCCCCACCAAACACTCTCACTAAACTAAATATATCTTCCTAGTAGATCCCTGTCTTTTTTGGTTGGGGCTGTATGCTTAAAGCTGTTTTATACTTTTTCCCTGTGGCATCAGAACACAAGAATGTTTTTGCATTCAAAGAAGAGTAGTTATTAGCTTGCAAAATAAGTCTCATACATTTTTCTTCCTTTCTGTCACAGGTTTATTTAATTATTTTATCAAATTTTCAATTGCTTTCTCTTTGCTTTTTTTCTGTGCCCATGTTTTTTTTCCAGTGGTATTAATGAGAGCTGCTTGGAGGTGTTGGGGAAATGTAATTTACAGATGAGGAATTGGAATTCATGCACACGCCTGTGCAAATGTCTGCCTAAGCGTATAGGTGCACACACATAGGTGTGTGTGTACATGAGTGTGTGCGTGCTGGAAACATATTGTGTTCCCAAATGATTTGGGTTTTAACGACTGAAAAAGTGCCTGCTAAGCAACAACCCTCATTACCATACAGATCAGGAGGCATTATAACTGTTTGTGAAGTATTAATTCACTTTTGCTTTTTCAAAGCAATAAAAGGAGTGTCCTTTCCCAATGCAAATGCCAATGCGGGTCTCATTTTTTATTGTGCCACGGTTTGGTTAAGAGTCGTTAACATTACAGTTCCCCTTGAGTACCAGACCCTTTCCTTTAATAGATCATAAAGGTGAAGCATTTTAACATCTCGAAGTCATTGCCACATTAATTTTGAAACATTAGTATAATTACCATAAACAAACAAGACAATCACTCGAAAGACTGGCAGGTTCTGCCAGCCTCTGCAATATATTGTCTGCCATTGGGCTTGACTTTATTGGAAATCTGATGGATTGCATAATTGCTTTGTGGCACAAGTAAGCACAAACCTCTCTTGAAATGGCAATTGATAGAGTGAATAAGAGATGATAGAGAAACAGGCAGATTCTTTTACTAAGGAAGTGTATCAGTGCTTAGACCGATGCCTCAGATGCTAGCCTTTAGCCATAAATTTATGCTAAATTTTACTGCAGTGTGCAATCTGCTACATTCTCATTTGCATGTTAACACGCTCATGTGCTAACAGGCTTAATAATTTAAGGCACTCTTCCGTCTGTCTCTGTGTCCACAGGTTCACTGGACCCAACCTTCCCTCACCCATTATTAGCAGCAAGAATTGGCTTCGACTGCACTTTACCTCCGATGGCAACCACAAGTTGAGAGGTTTCAGCGCCCAGTACCAAGGTAAGAGAAAGAGTGGATTTGATCATTTGATATTTTCAAAGGATTTAATTTACGATAAGATCAAATTCTCAACTATCTTGTGTGTGTGGCTTAACTTTGTACAGATAAGCATAACTCCAATCATTGATGGATTTCCATGATATTTGACTTAAATAGTCTTAGTCAGCCCTGGAATAAATCCTTATATTAATGGTGACCTACTGAACTTTTCTCTGGTGCCATAATCAGAACATAGTTCTGCTTAGTCATACAGTGGCCATAGTTCATAGTTTCCCACTTTGACTCCGGAATTAATAAAAATCTAGTTACTGACAGCCCTGAAATGAAACACATGAACTCCGTAGTGGATGAACTCACACCATTCACCATTCAACATGAACAGGGAAACTATTAACATGTTATCAAGGCCAATAAAGAAAATAATTCAGCTTGCTAGACTAAAATCATTCATCTTGTTGCTAGTGAAAGCAAGTGTACATTTTCTTAAATTCTTATGACGTATTTCAAGATTTTGCCAGCTTTTAAACTGTACGGGCATGTAGCGACAGAAGAGTTGTGATTGCTTTCAGAGTGCTACACAATTGTACAAACATTCAGAAACACACACACACACACACACACACACTAAATCCTAAATCTGTCTCTCTTGTATCCATTTCCCTTCCCATTACTCTTGAAAGTTCAGGGGTCAGCTCTAAGAAGGGATGAGCAAAAAAAAGAAGATCTCACCTCCAGCCATCCACTGGGAATCTTAGAAACGATGAGATTAGAGAGAGAAGAGAGAAAAAAGAAGGAAAAAGAGAGAGGGATGAAGAATATGGAAAAGAAAATGCATTGAGCCTATGGGTTTACAGGTTCAATGATAAATATGTTTAGAAGATCAGAGAGAAACGGGGGGGACTAATACTTTAATTAGATTAAACACCGACTCTTTCATCCCGCACCAGCCATTCTCATCATGACAGTTCCCATGATTCAACAACAGCAGCATGTTGGAGTGATGACATGACTGTTGGTTGAATATGTTCTTTGGTTCTATTTATTTTATTTTCTTCTTCAGTGTCCTTCGTGTTACGTGGTGCAGGAAACAGCCCATCATCTAATAGCTCACTTGCCTTACTAGAAACATGATGATACCTTTTTTCCTGCTTTTATCACAAGGGGAACATATCTGAAAAGAGCTTCTTTATTGTGATTTTTATTCCAGGCACATCATAAACAGACGTTTTGACACATGACTCAGATTAGCTTTGAATTACAATGAAGCTGAATCGGAGCAAAGGATAAAAACACATTCGCGCAACCAAGTAAAGTTCCATTGTCAGGAACCGTCAGAGTAATTAAATAGGATGAGTGTGAAGGGGCGCGCCAACAATGCTGATCGTGTTTTTGAAATTGATGAATAAATATGCATTTTGATGAGCCTCTTTCTTTGCCATGATGGCTTTGTTTTTTTATTTTCTCTGCAATTATCATGAAACTCAATTTAAATTTCATCTTTTTTTTTCTATAGAAAGTAGGGCTGGGCACATTCACGTGTTATCGCATCAACAAATTAATTAACGCAAAAATAATTTTATCGTACCTTAACGCAGTTTTTATTATCATTATTTTGAAAGTCCATTGCTTACTGGCTCTGAATACACATACAGTCAAACCACGGGTCACTCATGGGAGGGGTGGGATGTTGATCAGCCTGCAAATCATCCACCCAAACAAGCAGTAGAGGAGGCTTTGGCAGACTACGTTGGATACAAAAGCCAGACAAGCGAACAAATGCCACAGTGAAGTGGATAGCTACACACTGCATGCTGATTAGTATTGGGGAAGATGTCGGTCTTAGGAATGTCCTTAAAATCACAACGTAGTCGCTTGCTCGGTTGCTCTGTGCTCCGGTGATCAGAAAGGGAGACAAGCACTCTGCGAGTAAACAGCAGGCGCTCTATGGAGATTAAAAAAGGAAATGGCTTCTGTGCGCTACACAGCTGTAGCCTATTTAACTTAAGTTATACTTAAATTATACATAACTTTACCTGATAGGCCTGCATCTAGTTTTGCGGCTCTGCCATGCGAATTCCCTCCTGGTGATTTCCTATTTAGTAAACAGTAATAGATTCTGGAAACTCACAAACAACGAGGATCAGTCTCTCTTCCAATGATTTGTGCTGCATGTCGCGTACAAAAAGTTCAAGACACTTCAACTTCGGCATGTGCGTGAGGCGACGCCTTCACCTCACTCTAACAGGGACACTTGCTACTGAACACAGACTGTTTCTGCTGCTCCCTGATAAAAGAAAAATGTTTCTGCTGATAGCTGTTCAGAAAAAAAACAAGAAAACAGATTCATATGGTAACCTGTTGCTCAGAAGGTGCCTGTTATGTTATGATCGTGGCTCTGGTCTCTAATCTAATTATCTTGCTTTAACAAGCTAGATAAAAGGTAATGCCCTGGCAGAGGCAAATAGCTTTGGTTTAATATTTGATTTGATTACATTAATGTTTAGATTTAGATTTACAAGAAATATTTTATTGCTACTGTGTAAAGGGAATACTGCTGGTAAAAAGCACCTTATTTGTTTTAAGTGTTTGCAACTACATGTTATTTGTCACTTTTGGTATACAGCAGTACATTTAAACTAAAAGTGCGCAATACACTAATTTAGAATTCATCATTCAATTTTGTGCATAACTACATGATTAATCACAATTAATCGCAGAAAATCATTCGATTAATCGCGCTAAAAAAAATTTAATCATTGCCCAGCACTAATAGAAATCAGTGGTTTAGCTCCTCACATACCCTACCTTCTAATAATCCTAATAATTTAATTCCCTGCGCCCTTCTATCCACAAGATTGCAAAGAAATTGTACGTTGTTGAGCTAAACTAAATTTATACCTTTTACAGTTTACCTAGATCCTTTAAAGGTGGATTTTATCATTGTCATTTTCTTATTTGGGCAGGACTTTATTTAATTGCTTTGTCAAAACTGCTGTGAACATAGACGGAGTGGGTGTATGGAACAGTATATATTATATACTGTGTCTGCTGCAGACATTTAGCCACTGTTGAAATGTGTGGGCGTCATTATTGCAACTTCTGCTGACTTATATGTCTCTCTATTTTGTTTTCCTCTACAGTGAAGAAGATGACTGAACTTAAGTCTCGGGGTGTAAAGATGTTGCCTAGCAAAGACAACCACCACAAGATATCAGTGTGTAAGTGTGTCAACAGAGTTTTGCAAATAAACTGGCCTGGAATGAAAAGTTTCACTCAACCTTTCCCTTAAAAAGATGCATTTGAAGAACAGGCACAATGTTGCAAAATGGAATGCATTCAAATTTGGCATCGTCATAGGAAAGCAAGCATAACTTTTGGCTTGAGAAAAGTTTCTATATCTAAGTATATCACTCACGGAATGGCCTCAGCTGTCCACTAGCTACCAATGCAAAGCTTTTTCTCACTGAACTGCAGACTGACACCAGTGGCTATCATGGTATAAGTCTACAGTAGGGGTGGGGGGAAAAATCGATACAGCATAGTATCGTGATATTTGCAATGGCAATACTGTATCGATACACGGATGCCAAGTATCGATATTTTATTATATAAATTGCAGATGGGAGTTTTAACTTTTTGGTACTAGAATAATGAAATCTATTGCTTTTTTAGTCCACTAGAAAACTTAACAGGACCAAACAGAGAAATGTATCTTTTTAGATAAACAGATGTTGACAAAGTTTGACTTTAGGGACCTAATTGGAAGTTGGAAAAAGGTAATAAATTGCAATATATCTCAATATATTTAAAATCGCAATAAAATCTAATCGCAACATAAATATCGTGATAATATCGTATCGTGGGGCCTCTGGTGATTCCCACCCCTAGTCTACAGTACTGTTAAGGGTTTAAGTATTGTTCTCAATCATAAGCAGCAAGTATAGCTGCTGTGGGAATTGAACTTCATATGTCCTTGCATAAATTTACTTAAACAAGTGAGTCAAGCATGCCATTTCCACAACTTCTGTGTCATTCTATTGGAGAAGATGCCAGACAGTCCTTTTCAGCTCTTAACCTGTCTCAACTCTTGTTCAAAGTCATTTAAACATTTGTTCCTCTACTCCTTGGGCAGAAAACGGGGTGAATGCTGACAGACACAAAGGACGCACAGTCTGTGCTAGAGATGCAGTTCTTGTAGCAAATGGACAGCAGTAATTGCATTGGTTCCTCTTTTCGCCATTGCAGTCTTCCTTGCCCTTGTTCTGTCTCCCGCTCTGTCTGAGCTCACTGTTCATTATCCCATTCAACTTTCTTTGAGCATCTGTAACATTAACAGCTTCACAGCCATGATTCACCCGACTGGAGTGACTACTAGAGTGACACAAGGAGATGGATGTCGAAGGGTTTAAGAACAACCTGTTCAACAAAAAATAGAGTTGCATTAATGATAATCCTGCCTCAAGGCCATTTACAATTCATTTTATCCACTTCTACTTCCCACTTTATCTTTTGCTTTTAATCTGTATGTCTCAGAAATGTCCCTTTTCTTCTTTCCTGTTATTTGCATTGCTTTAATGCATTTTATTTTCGCCTTTTTCCACTTTACATTTTCCTGTCTCCATTATTTTATTTTATTTCTCATTTTGGCTGCCTGTGACAACTAATGGAGATACAGGCACATTATGGAAAGTGTGTTTTCAAGTGAAAATCATAAAAAAAAATTCTCCCCATAAACTGTCAAAATCATTAAAACTAAGGACATCTTCTTAACTTACTATTTGGACCTCATCAAATGAATAATCTATTTAAATGTATTAATGGATCAGCTTGTAGCATTTGATACTGGTATTCTTTCTTCACATCTAAAGCAACTTTTGCCCCAGTATGCGATAAATAAAAGATCCCCTAAATGACAATACTTAAATTAAATTACCACTCCCAACCCTACCACCAAACGCCTGAATTGCTAGACTGCATTTCTGTCACTAAATAACTGTTTGCTGCTGTAATCCAATATGGATTTTTCATTGAATTCTTAACCTTAAGATGTTTGCATCAAATATAGTTTTGTTTTGGGGTATTAAGCCAAACAGTATCTCCTATGAAGATGTGAATAACCTGACATCACAGTCACACATTCCTGAGATTGTCAACATTGTCCTCCTCCTCTGTTTAGTCAACAATAACTTTAACATTATTCTTTTATGCTGCCATTTCTTTTATTGCCTCTGCTGACACCAGTAAGCCTTGTTTTAAATTAATTGCTGTCTTGCCTCACATTGGGACCCTAGCCAATGAGCAGGTGTCACCTTGCTATGGCCCTGCAGACCTTTGACCCCTCCCAGTCAGTCAGATGGGCTCCCCTGGTTGGCCAAGTTTATTTGACCCCTTTTGCCACTCTACCTTCCACTGTTTTGCACCCAGTGACATGATGGAACAGAACACCACCAGGAATGTGCACTGGGATATAATGTACTTGGTAAGAAAGGATTGTGCAGTGCAAATATAACACTGCTCGTGTGACAACAAGGAAAAGACTACAGCAGATGTTACCACACATCAACCTTTTTATCTTTAAATGTGATCTGTAAAGATGCAATAGCATTAAGTGACCATTGACCACTAGAGGGCAGAAAGCAATCAACAAACAAACTCATAACAATCAGGCTTAATATTGCTTACTTATAGGAAACATGTTTGTAAAGACTTTCACATAGACATCTAGCCAAACTTGAGCAATACAGGCAACTTATGTGGAGTCCCGCCACCTGTCAAATGGCAGTTCAGTTATTTCCTCTTGATAAAGTTGGGGTGTGGTTAGAGGACTGTCTTCATTACCATTTTCCCACTGGCCAGGTGAGTGCACTACAACTAGCTTGTGAAAATGTGTGACTCAAGAGTATGTACATTTTACTTAATGCGGCAAAATTAAACATTTTCATGATCAAATATTTAATTTAGACTTTCTTTTGTTGAACAATCTGTACTTTACTCATTTTATTTCTCTCTGTGTTTTCCTTTTAGTGTCTCAGATGGGTGTAGCACAGGGACACAACATGTGTCCAGACCCAGGGACCCCAGATCGAGGAAAAAGAAAAGGCTCAGACTTCAGGTAAAAGAAAGAGGATGATGATTTTAGCAGCAGTTAATTAAGTGGTAAGTGTAATTTGAATAGATTCCTGAACAAGAACAGGCTGATTGACACAATGTGACGAACAGACAGTAAGTTATTTATTTTTTAAAAATATTATCAGGTTTCTTACTTTTCTTTAAGACAAGTGATGACCCAACTTGGCTAAATTAGCTTTCCACCTTGACATTGAGCTATACAAGTATATAAGGTAATGTCTGCCTGTACTTTGTTGCAGCTATTGCAATCAAGAGCCTCATAATTTTTTTATGTGACTTTTGTCACAATTCATCAAATAAGTAACTTCAACCGTCAACACAAGAGTTTCAGTTTTCTAATTTAATCGTCAAGGCCTAATTAACTTGTGTAAGTGGTATGAGAGTGCTCTGACAGTTTGCTGTTAAGATTGTGCTCCTGCAGTACTTTGTTGTCAGTTCAGTTGTCTTGTGGTAAAATATCCGTGTTTTAATTAGTTCTACTTCCAACGTGTCTTGGATGTAGTCCTTTTCTAATTTAGTTTTTAGATGTCAAAAATTAACTATTATAATAAGTGGACAACCTTCATTAGTCAGGGAATTTCAGAATGTCAAAAATGTCACAGTACTGAAATTGTGCTTTTTCAGATTCAGTCCCAAAATCAAATTTTAATCAGTAGTGAGCTGGGAGGACATTTTGGAATATGGGGACACTATTGGGTGCTACATATATAAAAAAATCAGGGACTGCATCTTATAATGTGTTTCAGCATAGAGCACATTACCCAATGTCATGCTCCATAAACCCACTGCAACCAAACCAGATAGACAAATGTGTACACTAAAACAAATACCTTACCATTTGAGCCACTGCACACTAATAGGCTGCCTCTGTGAGATGGGGGTATTACCGGTGGGATTATAGAGTTTCATTTCTGTCAGAGCTGTTGTCTCTCAGTGGTCAACTGTAACACAGACAAATTGGTAACATTTGCCTCCCACAATGCAGCAGCACTTTTAGAAATCACAGCTGGTCTAACAAAATATATGCCCCCCCCAGTAAACGTTTGTTTCCTTACCCCTGCCTCATCTGCACTCCCACTGCTAAATAGAGATTTTTTACAGAAAAGGTGAATGCTGATGTGCTTTACCTGTATGCAATTTAACTGCAGGCGAGGAGCCACAGTGCATTTTTCCTGCGACGAGGGTTATGAACTTCAGGGCTCAAAGAGCATCAGTTGTCTCAGAGTGACAGACAGCTATGTAGGCTGGAGCGATGATCGGCCCATCTGCAGAGGTAAGGACTGACATGTGTGTTGTCCTTCTATGCACATGTGTAATGGAGGAAGTGCCAATGTGACCTCCATTTCCATTTTCATACTCAGGTGCCCTGATGTTAATGTGTTTGCTTGTGAGTGTGCTGTCATTTTGTGTAGGTGCCCAGTCTGTTTTCTTATTTTTCCTCTATGTTATTGTTTCAATATTCACCATTTCATTGTGACTGGCCTGACTTTCACCTTTGTCCAGCATTATTTTGCTTCCTGCTGTTTAGCCATGCTGGCATAGTACTGCCCATCAGTCATGTCTTCTTGACTTCTGACCATTGTGTGACAGGAAGGAAGAGCTGTCGGGCTTCCTGTAAGGGATTCGTGATTCTTATGTGCGCCTCTGTTTCGTTTTCAGCCTCAATGAAATGATTTAATCAGAGTAGATTTGATTCATGACTTTTTCTTTTGGTACAATAATTGGTTGAATTGATGAGTATCTAGCTTATGAAGTGTATTCATTGGAGCAGGACATTATATTTTACTTTGAGTTGGTGGTACTGTTCCCTTAGAGCTTAAAAAGTGATGCTATGTCAACGTTGTCTTCACAACTTCTGTTGCCCCCAAGTGGCCAAAAAAAATGTGGTAGGTGATTATTTGTTTCATTGATTTAACAGTACTAAATGCTTTGTCGTTACTCCAGAAGGGCTCTGTAACTACAAAGTGCGGAGTGACTTGAAACTCAAAAAGTTTGAGATAATTATACCAAACATTTCTAAGATTGAGATGTTGATCCATCACAACAGAAGGTGCATTGACAGAGTAGTTCATATGAAATTATCTTTGAGGTAAGTTGTCAGTGGCAGGATCTGTACTAACCTTGAACTATTTGTGATTTTTATTTACAATAGATTTACATATTGTTTGATTTTCATTCACATTTACCCAGTAGGAAGATCTATGTCAGGAGTTTTTGCACCAGTTTTCCCTCGGAGCTTTTGAACACTGTAATCTATGACAGATTTGTCTAATGTAATCATCTGCAGCATTTTTCCATTTTATCCCCTTTAAAATCACCTTTAGGCCATTTTTGCTACTCCACTTTATTTAATGTTCTCTCAAAAACCCAGCTTTCCACAGGCACCCACATTTTATCTTTTGTCTTACACTGATTTGATTGTACCAAAATTTAATTACAGCACTAAGAAGAGGGGGCATGAACTCAGAGGGATTATATGGGTGGGGGGGTATGATAGTGCTCTGTCTCAACTAAGTCACTGTCAGTTACCTGCATTTCAGAAAATTATACTGGTATTCATCACAAACATAGTATTGAAGGCCTTGTACTGACACTTTTGTCTTCTGTAGTTTTTTTAACTAAAACATGACAAAATATTTATTTATTTTTAATACAGGCCATAGTATCACATTCAGATTGGTTTTCTGTTTTATGTCAACCAACATTGAAGATTGACATAACATCTGCAATAATGTCACTGAAATTGTCCTTTAAGAATATCACATCAATCATCCTTACTTAACCTTTGGTACTGTGGCTTTGTTCTGCCTCAATGAAGATTAAACGTATCTGGGAATAACTGAAGATCTGTATCCTAAATTAGCATTAGTCATCATTAAATTGAACAGCACTATCATTAGCACAGGAAAAAAACTTCATATCTGGCTGCAAATTCATTTTCCTGACACGAAATTCACGGTTCCCTTTTCGTCCATTCTTTCTTCATAGTCACGCTGAGCTGCTGCAGTCATGGAGTTTTATTGCTGTCCTGCTGCATCTTCATGTCTATCATTTAACACAGGATGGAGTGTATCAAGCAAGATGATCCCCATGATAAAAAAAAAAAATAGGAGGGGATATGATAACTTCAGTGGACTTTTGCTGTATTATTTTCATTAAGGTCACCCTCACTGCCAGCACAACTCAAATTAATTACTTCATTCTCCCCTTAACTTTGCCATAGTTCATTTTACATTTTAATAGGGGTGATTTGGTGGGAGAGGGGTGGAGCATGGAGCCACTGAGTGGGGCTTGAACACCCAAAGGACCTCTTGTAGACGTTACTCATTAAAATCTGGGTAGCTGGTTCAGGCCCTTTCAAATACTTTTGGGTCATATACCCCACGTATGTACACACGTACACACTCACTTCCTTTAAAGTAGTCATTAGAAATTCTGCTTTAATTTGAAGGAGTGTTTAACAGTTCTGCCATGCAGTCACCCTCAGGCCTCAATAAAAAGTCACACTGTCCTTTAAAGCTTAGTTTGCTAACTGCTCACCTTCTCTTTTCAGTGAGAATATCCCATCTGTTTGTGTTTTGCTACTTTTTTTCCATGATAAAGTTTATTTTGAAACATTTTAACAATGGCAGAGGATCATTAAGACATTAATGGCTGAGCTACTTTGTTTTATTGTTATAATAAATCACCCTGACAACACCCTTAACAAAAAACAAAACGCCAACCAACTTCCCAATATATTTTAGACCTGTGGGAAAAACTGTGTGATTTATGCGTTTGATTGAATCTTTCATTAGTCTATTTTCCATGGTGTCACACTAAATTGGCAAGTCAAGTGTTTAGCGGGTACACAGCAGTTGATTTTGTTTAGATGGCACTTTGGTTCATAATTTGAGGATGGTTTTAAAAAAGAACAAGTTATGATTACCAAGCACTTGCCAAACAGCTTCCACTTTCAAAAGCAATGGTTGCTCACAGTTCAGTCCTGAACGCTGATGGAACCTCAAGTTAAAGAGGTGGTATTATGTTTTTTGGCTTTTTCCCTCTCCTTTATTGAGTTATATATCTTTTTTGTGCATGTACTAGGTTTGCAAAGTGAAAAAGCCCGAAGTCCACCCAAAGGGAGTTCCCATCTCCCATTGAAAACTCTGCTCTGAACTGCCTGAAAACAGCTTGTTTGTAGTCCAGTCTTTACTTCCCTTTTTTGTGATGTCACAATGAAAATACGTGTCATAATGCTCGCTGAGCGACTACTCCGACATGAAAAATATTGAGCTGCAGCACACCTCTCCTCTCCCTTCCAACCACTAGCTACCCTCCAAGCAGTCAATGGACATAAAGTTGTTACTGTGATGTAGAGACAGAGCTCAGTTAAAACTTTATGGATGAAAGATACTTTTGTTACAGATTAATAACTCTGAAACTCTTGCTCCAGTCCAAATTGCCAACCTGGTCGGCAACATGTAGCCTACAGCTGAATCGAAGCTGTTTACCGTCTTTTCGCTGACCTGCCCTTCTCTGCTTCTGATTGGCTAGTAGTCCTTAACTAGGAACTTTGCATGTGCAACTCCCAACAAAAATCATTTTGAGACAAGGTGCATCACTCCATAGCTAAAACGAAGCTTTCAACACAGGGTGAAAAGAAGAGCTGCAGCAATGTGCAGTATGACAAAAACTATGGTGTTTTTTGAAAATGAAACCATGTAAACCTGTTCTGGTACAACCCCTAAATAGGATTTTGAACCTGAAAATGAGGATAATACCACCTCTTTAAACAAATGCATTTTGAATTACACTGTTGCATTTGGCAGTTCTGCTTTTTAGGATGCCACCCATGTCGCTTGGCAAATGTTGAGTTGAGAGTTTTGAACAGAATACAGAAAACACAAATAAAATATTGGTTATGCATTATGCATCAGGAAAGAAATACAATTGCAAGTATGAGTAATGAGAAACCTTAACAGGTAGAGGCTGAAGTGGTTGAGGGATGAATCGGCACGACCAACAAACAGCATCATGACTAGATTTAACATGCAATCCAGGAGATGTTCTGACACATGCTATGTCTTTTGTGGTTTTGTAAATGAGAACCCGTGTGTTTTAAACTGTCATTGACCAAACATTTGCCTCTCTCTGTGTCTTCCCTCGTAGCACCAATGTGTGGAGGCCAGTTGAGAGGACCCAGTGGTGTCATCACATCTCCAAACTACCCGGTCCAGTATGACAACAATGCTAACTGCACTTGGGTCATCACAGCCACAGACATGTCTAAGGTAGAAGTTGTCAAACGTGATTTAAGCAACAGTGCAGTGCTGATTTAGCTTTGTTACTGTAGCAGCCTGTTTCCAGTGGTGTGTTAAGTGGTGTGTTTGGTTTCCAGCAAACTGAAGATCAGTTGACTGGTGTGTTTGCACCAGTTAGAGAGGATCCCCAGAGGGAGCTCTTCTCTGACACACATGACTCATTTTACGCTTTTGATCATTTATACAGGACATTTTGGGGGACTGCTGAAAACCGTTTGACAGAGGCTCTAGAAAAATGTGAGAGATAAAGAAAATGAAGGAGGGAGGAGGGGGTGCACTGGAACTGAGCCAGCAGAAGACAAAGAGAGTTGTTAGAAACACCTGTGGTGAGGGAGAGAAGAAAAGACTAAAAACGGACAGAAGAGTAATGGAGAGATTTTGAGAGCATGCTCAGAGGATATCATGAAAGTGTCATAGCCACTCTATTCAGACCATTGACTTTGTGTTGTGTTCAAGGCCACCCAGCTGCTTCCCTGCCAAAGATCCTTCTCGGAACTCAAACAAAATGGTTTTACAAATCTGTTGTCCTATTGCACTGCGCAGAGTGAAGGAGAGGCTACGTGAGGAGAGAGGCAAGGCTGAGGGGGTAGTCAGATACAATGCACACCCACCCAACTCCACCCTTTGCTTGCATGCTTACAAACACACACACACAGACACCCTTGGGCATACCCGGCAGGCAGCCTGCTGAAACAGACAACGGTACTTTGGGCTGTCTCTCGCTGTGTCTGGTCCAGATGAAGATGGAGTGAGGCTGTTCTTTCTGTTTAGAGATGTAATGGGCTTCTATTCCTGCCTGTGCACATAGGCCCAGCCAGAGGAGACGTTAGGTCAGGCAGGAGACTGAGGCGGAACTGGGTAGGACGTGACACAGCTCTTCTAGACCTAAATGCAACCTTGTGGCATCATGACTAATGTGGGTTCTTGTCAAGTGGTGTTCCTACATAATTTCCTGAAGGTATTGAATGCAGCTGTTTTTAGTTGACAATCTTTTTCGCGTCTATCAGTCAGTGTCAGGGACACTAGGGTGTCTGTTCTGAAACAACCAAAATGTCAGACTTGGCGTCAGAGATTGCAAACAATATAAAGTATATTTATGGTTGCTGTGCTTTTTCCCCACTTTTTTGTTTATTCCTTCCTTTTCTGTGCCTCACCTGTTGGCTGGCAGATGGGAGATGAGTTTGTGGTATGAAACTCTATTTATCGAGTGATCTGACCTATTTTGCCTACACGCCATCCATCTCTTCTCTCCACCTTGGCAATTTTCATTAGGCACTTGGTTTAACATAGGACAGAATGCAATTTGCATTTATATAAGCTTTTTCATTAGGCCTGGCTCTCTCAGTCCTCTGAAAACATTAAGAATTTGGTGGGAATCAGTGGCAGCCAATTTAAAATAGGAGACAAAGACAGTCTTTGCTTTGCTTTTTACTTATTTATATTTTAGTCTCCCATGTTACCCTGCTGTTTTGCCTTTTTTTATTTTAATCAACATTTTTCACAATCATAATGGAACCTTATTTGTTTGTCTGTATTCATTAGAGTTGCCCCTTGCTTCTTTCAGCTAGGGCACATTTAATGTTTTTCTTACCTTGAGCCACCTTTTCTCCCACTCTCCCACCTGCAGCATAGAGATGAGATGAAATGAATAGCTCTGTTTTTCCCCTCACTGTTTAAATCCAATACATAAATCTTTTGAAACCTTTATGTCACCTTTATGATGCATATATTCACCTTGTGGACAACCTCAAGTCCCTTGCCACCTCTCCTAATGCACCTAAAGTCATTGTAAGTCTGGCTAAGTAGGCCACAAAGGCATCTGCAGCCTGCTGATTTGATGAGCAAAGAGAAGGGGTCATGCAGACCGTCTGGCAGGCAATTAGATATTTGATTAGTGGGAGAGAGTTCATAATCACCAGGCTGAAAGTCTCAAAATATACACACACAGTCACATATGTATCGACAGCAACTCTGTGGCTGTACCACGCCGATAATTTACACCGGATGAATGATGACTCATGAATGATGTATCTACAAGAAAATAAATACATTGATAACAATAAATGTTTTTGCGTACAACATATCCACAGCTGTTGCATATGTGTGAATGGAACCGTGCCAGACAAATATTCAAAAGAGATTGACAGATGATAGCAGGAAGGATAAAAGGATGGAAAGCCACAGATGGGGAGAGGTCTCTCCTCTGCAGCTGGTGTCAGGAGCATTCAAGCATCTGTCATTTACGGTTGTCTCGACGATGTCCCCACTGTTGTCCAGGTGATCAAGCTGACATTTGAGGATTTTGACCTGGAGCGAGGCTATGACACCCTGACGGTGGGAGATGGCGAGGTGGTCGGAGACCAGAAGACCATCTTCCATGTGTGAGTGACTCTTTTGTCCTCTAACTGTTTGGCTTTGATCTTTTCGTCCATCTATTCTCTAAATTATTCCGGCTTTTACTCCTCGCCATTGTCTCTAGCGGTCATTTTCATTTTTGTTCCATGTAATCGTATGTTGTGTTTTGCTTTCTCTTTCCTCTTCACCTCTCGTCTTTTTGGCACACGTGCCTTTTCTCTACCTCCACTTCCCTGCAGCCAGCAGCACAACTCTGTCTTCCCTTTACCCTCCAGCCACTTTCTGTCTCTTGTACTATTTCTCTTTCATTTCATCACCACCTGATGCATGAAAAATAGATGCTGCAGCACATTGTCAATCATCACTCTTTTCGGTGTTAAAAACAAGATCACAGCCATGTGGTGCAGCATTGCGACCTGCATATTGATGTCTCCAAATGGAGTTTGCGCTAGCAGATGCTCCATAACAATTCACGGGATGTTGTTATTAATTGTGCTGGAATTTACCACCCTTATAAAGTTTTTATAGATCAATTTTAATGCATGGCTGCCTTGCCCCGGGTGGGAACAGGGAGGAGGTTTGAGGTTTGTTGATGAGAGAAGATCTTCCTCACTTTCCTCACTTTGTGTACTTGCACAACACACAAACTCTGAAAATGACCTAATCTCTTCATTGAAGGACTCCCTCTGCCCATATGGACTTCTTTATGATGTGAAAGTAGATTGAGCAATTCTGTCATTGAGATTGGATGCGCTCTTGCACACAAACAAACTAGAACAATTTAGGACCAGAGAGAGAGTATACTGCAGCTATCAGCACAGTTTAACTTGGGACTATATTTTATGTGACTCAGTGGTGCAAGGAAGCGTGTGCAGGGTGTAGGAAATAATTTTTTTCAGAACTTTAAGGTCGGAGGTATGTAACCCTGCATGCTCAGTCATAAATGTGGTGTTTAATAGGTAGTCCGTCACAACCAATCAAATCCTCCCTTTTTCTTCTCTTGAAAGGCACTGTGCACTGACAGTTTGATAATGGAAGAGAACAATTTGGTGTGAATCTGCCAAAAACATTTTTCCCACAGGGAAAATGATGTCCTTGTGTGGGAAGAACATAATTGCCAAGAGCAGGACAAACACATGGACCCTTATCCAGACACTACTTACTTCCTTACCACTCCCACCAACCTCCATGTCACTAAAATTAGAACCCTTAATCACTTACTCTGCAGCTTCACACTTTCTAATTAGAGCTGGGTGGAATTACTATTCAAACAGGATTAAATTACTTATGTGGCATTGACTGATCTTGCCTTCATTTCCCACTTTCTTGTCCCTGACTGTTTAGAATAAAACTTTTAGGTTAAAAAAAACAGCATCTTAGACTGGATTTGCCTGTAGCCATTTAAGAACACTTTTCTTTGATGGGAAAAGTCAGATAGTTTAAATATATAATCAGGTGGTGTTTTTGTTGCTTGCATTAAAGTAATTTAACAATGCAGTGGAAACAGGGCCTTTGGCTATGAGACCAATTTCACCGCAGTAAGTGCAAACACTGCTTATAATAATTGAAACAGCGGATCCACGTTTCACAATAGACACACCTTGTGTCATACTATATGTAGCACAAAGATCAAGTATATTATATGTGAAACCTATCCTCTTGTATCTTTTTGTAGCCTGTCTGGTACGACCACACCAGACCTTGTGGTTAGCACCAGTCACCAGATGTGGCTCAATTTCAAGACAGATGATACCAGTGGCTCCCTGGGCTTCAAGGTGTCCTATGAAGGTAAGGATGTTTCGCACATTGTGGTTGTCAGTCAGTGGGATGTGCTGGCTTGTAGTCTGCGTTTAAAAAAAAATTCTTTCTTTGACAACCTCACAATTCAATGCATTTTTTGGTCATATACCCTCACTGCATGAAACATGTGAATTGTGTCAGTAAGCAGCGCTGTAAATTGCTGTGGAAGTTCAGGTTAATGACTGTTCATGGGAATTTGTAGGCGTCACACAAAACTACCACGAACTGCCAATACTTGACATGGGGATTAAATTTCTGGCAGTTTTACAAGCCTGACTAGCTTTCCAGTTGACCCCCCTCCCCCCTCCTAGCCCATATGCATTTTGACTCACTGCTCAAAGCTGACATCATAGGCTGTGACAGAACACACGTTGCTTCAGTTGACTGTAAAATGATTGTCCTTTCCTGCATTCATCATCCCGAGTTCAGTTGGAAAAACTCTGGAGTCAGAGATGCTGCTTCGGTCTCATCTAAGTAGCATCATAACAAAATGGCCATATGAGCTCTTTCTGCTCCCTGGCATGCTGCATCTACAAATTACAGCTAGATAAAGCCCTTGAACAAAACACATACTGTGCCAAGGACTCAGTCTAAGCAAGCACTATTAGTGAATGACGCTCCAAATTACTGGTTCCATTGTAACTGCACAAATTCTGCTTTTAGATTAATTACTTGTGACATGTTTGATGCTTTGAAAGCTAATGATGCAGGACATTAAAGGCACTTATTATGCTCAAATAAAATTGGTCAAAAACAGTTAACAGGCCAACCATGCAGCCTCCCACAGATAGCTGATTCATGTGTCCTATCGCCTAATCCCAGTGTGTCTCATGTAGGTGCACGCATGTGTGAACTTTCCAAAATGGGAATTAACATTTGTATGTGCCTGCATGCTTGTGTTAAGGTGAGAGACAAAAAGGAGCGACGTGTGTGTGTGTGTGTGTGTGTGTGTGTGTTCTGTTTGTCTGTGTGTATGAATGCGACTATGGGGAGTTTGCCAGAGTTCTTCATCTAGATAAGTCTGCTGTTTGCCTCTCAGAAGCACAGCGAGTCTTCTTCCTTGCCCACAGATGCTTATTTTTCATCAGTAAAAATAACAGAGAAAGTGGAGCAGCATGCTGAACCAAAGTGTAATTAAAACAATGAGTTCTACTTAATGAAGGGGAAGAAACGCTTTGAACCACTTCACCTCCCAGTTTGGAGCACCCAAAATCTAATTTGCATTCTCAATTACTTGTATTTTAAGCCTGATCATCAAGTGTAATTGCAAACACAGTCATACCAGTACACACACTCCCACCTTACTCATGCATTGGAGTGTGGGCTGCACACACTCCAATGCCTGGCCTCAATCTTTCATAATCGGGTTTATTGCTAGGTACATTTTCACATACGAGGAATTGCCTTGGTATGAATTAGTGCTTACAGTACACATAACATACATAGTAATATAAATATATAAAAAGTAAGGAGATCAGAAAAACAATATATAAAAAAATATAAAAAGATACAATAATACTGGGCCTTTTTGATGATGGAGGTGATGTTCAGTTCCCACTTGAGGTCCTGGGAGATGATGGTGCCCAGGAAGCAGAAGTCCACAGTGGTGACTGGGGAGTCACACAGGATGATGGGGGAGGGTGGGGCTGGGCTCTTTCTGAAGTCTGCGACCATCTCCACTGTCTTCAGAGCACTGAGCTCCAGACTGTTCTGGCTGCACCAGGTCACCAGATGGTCGATCTCCCACCTTTAAGCGGACTCATCCCCACCAGAGATGAGCCCAATGAGGGTGGTGTCGTCCGCAAACTTCAGGAGCTTGACAGACTGGTGACTGGAGGTGCTGCTGTTTGTGTACATGGAGAAGAGCAGAGGGGAAAGAACGCAGCCCTGAGGGGAACCGGTGCTGATGGTCCTGGAGTCAGAGAGATGTTTTCCCAGCTTAACGTGCTGCTTCCTGTCCTTCAGGAAGTCAGTGATCCACCCACATCCACCTGAGTCAGGCACGTTCATCTGAGAGAGCTTGTCCTGAAGCAGGACCGGGATGATGGTGTTAAAAGCAGAGCTGAAGTCCACAAACAGGATCCTGGCATAGGTTCCTGGGGAGTCCAGGTGCTGGACGATATAGTGATGGCCATGTTTACTGCATCATCTACAGACCTGTTGGCTCTGTAGTCGAACTGCAGGGGTGGGTCTGTGATGGATTTCAGGTGGGACAACACAAGGTGCTCAAAGGACTACATAACCACAGATGTCAGGGCGATGGGTCTGTAGTCATTTAGTCCAGTGGTCCTTGGTTTTTTGGGGACAGGGATGATGGTGGAGGCTTTGAAGCAGGCCGGCACATGACATGTCTCCAGTGAGGTGTTAAAAATGTCTGTGAACACCGAAGACAGCTGATTGGCACAGTGCTTCAGGGTGGATGTGGAGACAGAATCTGGTCCAGCTGCTTTACAAGGTTTCTGCCTCCTGAACAGTCTGTTGACATCCCTCTCTAGGATGGTAAAAGAGGGGGAGGAGGTGGGGAATGAGATGGTGGACTGTGGCTGATCAGTGGTGTGACGGGGGATGGTGTCAGGTCTGTCCCATTGTCTTTCAAAGCGACAGTAAAACTGGTTCAACTCGTTGGCAAGGCGTGAGTCATTCATGGATTGGGGGGATTTAGGTTTGTAGCTGGTGATCTGTCTGAAGCCTCTCCAGACAGAAGCAGAGTCATTATTTGAGAACTGGTGTTGTAGTCTCTCTGCGTACAGCTGTTGCATCTCGCACCGCCTTGCTAAATATGTACTTTGACTCCTTAAACCTGGCCCGGTCACCACTCCTAAACGCCTCTTCCTTTTCCAACCTCAGCTGTCTGAGTTTAGCTGTGAACCAGGGTTTGTCATTGTTATAACTCACCCTCATCCGTGTTGGAATGCAGCTGTCTTCACAGAAGCTGATGTAGGACGTCACAGCCTCTGTATACTCATCCAGGCAGTTGGTAGCAGTCCTGAAAACATCCCAGTCAGTGCAGTCCAAGCATGCCTGGAGGTTCTCTACAGCTTCACTGGTCCACTGCTTTGATGTCCTCACCACAGGTTTACAGATTTTTAGTTGTTGTCTGTATGCAGGAATCAAGTGAACCATGCCGTGGTCAGAGTGTCCCAGTGGAGCTCGAGGGACAGCGTGATAGGCACTGCTTACTGTGGTGTAGCAGTAATCCAAAGTTTTCCCCTCTCTGGTTGGACACTTTATGAACTGTCTGTATTTGGGGAGTTCATGGCTGAGGTTTCCTTTGTTAAAGTTATCAAGAACAATAACTAAGGAGTCCGAGAATGTCCACTCTACCCACAGTATCTGATCGGCCAGCGTGCGCTGTGCCTCCTGCACGTTGACCTGCGGTGCGATGTAAACACCGAGCAGAAAGTAGCCAGCAAACTCACGGGGGGAGTAGAATGGCTTACAATGTATCAATAAATATTCCAGGTCATGAGAACAGTGTTGCTGAATCACTGTCACATCGTTACACCAGCCACTGTTAATGTAAAAACAGACACCTCCACCTTTTGTTTTGCCAGAGAGTTCCATGTCACGGTCCGCTCTGTAGACCTGGAAGCCAGCAGCTGCAGCGCGGAGTCCGGTATTGATCCAGACAGCCACGTCTCGATGAAGCACAGAACAGAAGATGAATAAAAGTCTCTGTTTTTCCCCACCAGTAGCCGAAGTTCGTCCATTTTATTGCACAGTGAGCGCATGTTGGAGAGAAATTTTCCTGGTGATGGCATGTGGTGTCCTCTTCGGCGTAGTCGCACCAGCGTGCCGGACCTTCTCCCCCTCCTCCGGCGTCTCACCGCATGAACCGCCTTGACCAGAATGTCCAATAATTCCACTGATGACACAAGAAAAGTCGGAATTAAATCCACTGCCGTTGTTCCCCTGATGTTTATGAGCTCTTCTCTGGTGAAAGGGCTCCGGGTATCACAGCAGAATGCAAAGTTAATAAACGTAAACAAAACAAACAGAGCACCAAAATACCATGGCTGTCCTGAGCGGCGCCATCTTCATCAAATTGAACTTTCAACTGAAATTGTAATGCTTCAAACTAAATCGGCATTGATGCATATGTGTAGGTCTAAACCCAGCCACAGGAGTACTTAGTACTGACACTGAGCATGTATATTTGAAACATGAAACATTTGGAGTTATTTACACCCATATGCAAGTGCATGCACCTACCAGACTGTAGCTAACATCGAGGACACAGGGGTCATGTCTTTTGTATTTTTTCTATAGTATAAGTGGAGGTTTTCAGAGCCTGCTCAGACTGCAGACTGAGTGTCTGGAGTTTATGGTGGTAAGTTGGATATTTCAGATTTTTGCTTAACTGCACAGTTACTTTATTGCCATATACACATAAAATGAGGTTCACATGTTGTAGATACTTCCATACTGAGGCTTTGATTTTGAAGTCTGGGTCTGTAAAGCCCATTGACACATTGTATGAAATACTGGGTTATACAAATCAATTTCATTATTTTCTTTTTGTCTTTTTAGGCTTCAGGAGCCTGCAGTGTAGTTGTTGATTAATGCGCATCTGAGTACAGTACTTGTCATGTCAAACAGTCATATGCCATTAAATCTATTCCCTTATTTATGAGAATTAAATGCTGTTTCCTTAATTCCTGCCTGCCTACTTATACAGAACATACACAGTGACACACACATTAATTTACAAACACATTAATTGGTCAACTGATTATCTGGCATGTTGAGATAACCGGCATCGGTTGATGCCTGCACTCATGAGGCCAATGAACAAAAAATGTCTGTGGACGCATCTGCAGGCAGCCTAGTCTGTGTGTCAGCAGTGAAGTGTTGTTGGCGCTGCCCCTTTAGTTGGTTTCAAGCCCTCAATCATCACCATCGTCTTTTCTCAGTGTTAACATGTTTCTCCCATTCTAAATGACAGCAAATAAAACCATTACTGGCTAGGGTTAAATATATATTATTAAACTGCATTATATATCGGCCATCAGCCACCCTGTTCTCTAAAGGTTGGTTGACCACTACATCTCTGTACATGCACACACTTCAAAGGGTGATTATTTATTGCCCCAACTTTTATAAGTTCTAATTGTAGGCACCTATAAGGCAGAGAGGCCTTACTTGAGAAAAACACTGCAGGGATTTTGAGTTTTTTCATTGAGTCTGCTGCACTGACAACACATGATTGTAACTGATGTGTGTGTACTTTTGTGCATTTGCACATGTATGTATACGTATGTATTTCTGCGTCTGTCTTGTAGCTTACATGTCCTTCTGGATCATATACATTCCCTTCATTAATTTCCCTTTAGTCATCTCTCAGGCTCAACTCAAAAGTTGCTTTTAGCATTCCCCCTTTTAAAGGTGACTTCCTCATAAGATCAATGAGTTGTCTTGTGAATGAGGCTGCCTCAGGACAGCCATACATCCAAACAGCAGTGAGCTCTAAATATGTGTTCTAAATGATGATCATCATTAGGGCTGAGTATGGATTTATACCCAGCACCACCCCTGGTGCGGTTTAAAATCGTATTAGGCCCTGCCATCATTTCCTGGATGGATGAGCTTTCTGTGTTGCCCCATCCGGATGCTGCGATAGGATGCCTCAGCATTCCCATCTGCAATCTGCAACCTCGGAAAACTAGAAAGAAGACTGAGTGAAAGAAAGAGGGATGCATAAATCTTGAGATAATGAAATTGCCGTATGTGGTTTTAAGGAAGAAGAGTGGTCATGGAGGTGTGTGTGCATGTTTGTGTGTGTCCGTGTTTGTGTGTGTTTTCACCTGAAAGTGCTCATGTCAGCTTCCAACGCATGTGAGAACATTTGTCACACAGTAAGAGGGATGCATTTGCTGGGGGAGAGAAAGAGGTTTACAACATTAGTGAGTAACACGTTGGGAGCATAAAGAGACAGTAACGAGTCCTTAACTTCTAAATTATACAAAAGGAATGCATGACGAGACGGTAGGAATATCAGGTAATTCTGCATAGTAGATGCATAGAAGCTACTATAGTCTTGTCAGCTCAAAATGAACTCTTCACTGAGTCATACATTGCTAACATCCATTCAGTTCCAGTTATCTCCATTTAGTCTTAGCTAATGCACAAGACAGGGTCAATGTCTCTGATGCACAATTTCAACAAACCAGGGCATGTGCCCTTAACAGCAAGCACTCTCAGATTGTTTTTATTGTAATAGTACCGGTTCACTCCATGCGACCCCCACATCTTGTCGAAACACAAGTTCTAATGCTTCAGTGACTAAAAACAGAAGACCTGACCAATGTGTGTGGGGGGGAGAGACTTCAAGAATATGAAACATGAAAATTGGCTTAAGTCTTAGCTGTGGGAACAAGTAACCAAATCCATTTCTAACAGCCTGATGATCTGTTTTCTCAGTAAAGTCCCTGTTTTTAACATTCCTAACAAGCTTTTTTTTAAAACTGATGTAGGCTAACTATTCCTATCTTATTCATGTCTTTAAAAAAAGCTGGATAAACAAGTCTTGGACCGATCACTGCTGCGTGATTAAATCGATACTGATCATTTCATCTAAATGTGGTTAGATAAAAATGTCAGTGGTCCTGTAATAAGTGATTGAGAGAACATCCTATGCTGCATGTGCACTTTGTTGTTTTCCACAAGATGAGAATTATATTTAAAAAACAATGTGATCCTGATCTACTCTGAGGGAAGAGGGTGGGGATGTGCTGGTGGGAAGCTCCAACATCTAAAAGATGAGAATTGGCCGCAGAACAGCATTGTATAAAATGATTAGGGAAGTCATTTTTCTAGTCTGTATGACTGTATGAACACGAACACACTAATGTTGCAGGTTGATTTCGTGTGAGATCCTGCATCTTCTTATCATTTATTACATATGCAGTTGTATCTTGTCAATATCTGCTGGAGGGTACAGCCAGTAATAACCTTGAGTTTAGATGTCTCTTTCTATCTGCCCTGCATCTCCATCAAATATTTTAGGAAAACTGAAGAAAACGTGTTTCTCATGTGCATTGATGTTCCTCTGCTTGAAATGATTATGTATTATCAATGTCAGTTTTGCATACTGAATATTGTTACCTTTTTATCGCTACCTTTTTTACCTACACAGAAATTGACCAAGGTAGTTGCGGAGATCCTGGAATTCCAGCTTATGGCAAACGTGAGGGGACAGGTTTTCGTCACGGGGACCGACTCTACTTTGAGTGTCTGCCTGCCTTTGAGCTGGTGGGGAAGAAGAACATCACCTGTCAGAAGAACAACCAGTGGTCGGCGAAGAAACCCAGCTGCGTTTGTAAGTTCTTGGATGCTGGTTATTCATATTCTACATACACCACATGCACACTCATGTGGGTGCATAAATATGTATGTTAGTGCAGATGAGCTGCATAATAAATGGACAAATAGTCCTTATTCTTTGTCTGGCAGAGGCTGTGGATTTTGGAACAATAGGAGCTCTTACTGGATAATTAACGCCATGAAAGACAAACACAAAGATTGAGAGAGTTAGAGGGTGAGGGGAAAGGGAAAAGAGAGCTGACCATGCACATAATACCCACTGTTGTATTATTGATATGATGATAGGGTGGACAAAAAGCTGCAATATCTAGATAAACGTCACTGAGCTGAATGACATGAGTCAATTTGGCCCCATAACACTGGTTTTATTTAGTTGACATTTAACCAACCAGTCATGCAGACACAAAGCAGTATGCTTGTCTTTGTCATTGAAATTGACAATGTTAATAAGATCATGTGCTTTACTAGTAGAGTATTTATTAATATCCCTTATTTATTCCAGTGAACACAGCGTTAGTGCTTTTTTCAAAATTACAATAATGGAAACAGATGCATCCTAAACCCACCAACTATTTGCTACTGATGCTACCTTGGAGAACGTACTGATGACAGGTCAGAGCACTGCTGTTTAGCCACCAGCTACAGTGGATACGATAGTTAATAGTGTCAAAGGAAAAAATGGAAGAATGAAGTTATAATCACACATTGCATGGATGCAAAGCTAAGGGCAAACCTGAGATAAAGTCATTACCATACCAGTGCAAAAGCTAGAAGGGAGAAACCCTGTCATGTCGTGGTTGAGATTAATTTCATATTAAAAAGGCAATCATGGCTGCAAGTTCTGGTAGTTCTATTCTTTACTCTAGTCATCCACACTTGTTACCAGATGGACTATTGAAAGTTCCTGTGCATATTCAAAAATCTATCTGTTGTGCATTTGTGAATGAAAGTAGTGTTTTGTGTCAGTGACTAAGACTCAAGTTATCTTACATATCCCCCCATCCCACCACCTTTCCATGTTTCTTCATTAACTTTGAACTGAAGTATGCTTAGTTGGTGTTGATGTTGAGCTTGCAATAGTTTTTAATGAAACATCCCCTGACAATCAATAGACCCCAGCACCTTGGAAGCTAGACCAATTAAGTAAGGAGAGTCCAGATGATACGTGACATAAAATTCAAAACCTATTTAAACTAGATGGTGTAGTTAAAATGTGAAGCATGACTCTGCCTTTTCCATTTCTCATTTGTCACTTGTAAATTTATTTAGAAACGGATCCTAATCGATAGTGCAAGGTTTAAATTTGACCACATCACCGTAACCACTGCATTGTTTTCAGTGCCATTTTCCTACGACTCCTTATCCAAGCATATTTCTGTTTAACCTTGCCAGACCACCACATGCACAAAGCAGAAAGTGTGGGCTGTCTTTCCAAGGAAGGCTGACCAGTAACATCAAGGCATTGTGCTGTTTTCTTCTAATCACATCCATTTGAGCAACTGGGATCAAGTGGCAGCCTTGACAGTAATCAGGGAGGGAGATGAGACCATTTTTCATTTCCATTATCAAAACATTCCTTTTAGCCTTTTTAGACATTGTTTAAAAACAATGATTATCTGGTTACATATTTACGATGATTTAAGATGTTTCAGGCTAAGGCTTTCTCTATTCCCCATTTCCTAAATAAGATATTGTTTCTAGTGGGGTTCCTCCTCTCATATAATAAATAGTGGATAAATATATAAATAAAGATAAACAATTTTGCCACAATAAGACACAAACAATTGTTCTTATATGATCTTATTGGCAACTTTCATTACTTTCGGACATGTTTCCTTTTCATTACTTTCTTGTCCAGTGAGCCTAATGTTGCTGTCGCTATATGCCTACGTGTGCTCATGCTACAAGTCAATAAACTTGTGGTTATAGTGGTGTCTTTTGAAATGACTTCCTCCTGATCTGTTAGATGTCTACGGTATGTGGGATGTGAGGTGGCTTTATACAGGTTCAATACAATTTATCACACCATAATGTATTGTAGTCAGCAAATATAAATGGAATCTGCCACCTATTTTTCAGCCACCTAAACAATACTCCTTTTATGTTTTGGGTTTTCTTTCTTTTATTCCTTCTTTTTCTCTTTTTTTTTTTTCTTTGTTTATGTCTCTATCACTCCTATAGTTTCCTGTTTCTTCAACTTTACCACTCCATCCGGGGTGCTACTGTCGCCCAACTACCCCCAGGAGTATGGCAACAATATGCACTGTGTATGGCTGATCATTACCAACCCTGAGAGCCGAATCAATCTGGCCTTCAACGACCTGAGCATGGAGAAACAGTTTGACTTCCTCTCAATCAAGGACGGGGGAAAGGTAGTGTTAAATTATAAGCTGTTGTCCTCAGATACTTTGAATAGCTCTTTGTACAACTTCATCTATTGACCTGTCAGTCATTATGCGTATCAGTAGGAGATGTGCAATTATGTGTCTGCCAGCAGCATTGGACTTGCCAGTCATTTTATCTGTCTACTTCCCAGTATGAGCTGTTTACTCTCTGACTTCTCTCCCTTTTTAGTCTGATATTTTGGTCTCATCAGAAAACTGTTTTTGTCAGGCCGAGTCTCCTATCCTGGGTACCTTTTCTGGTGACGTCCTGCCTCCTTCTATAACAACTAGTGCCCATGTGGCCCGTCTGGAGTTCCTGACTGACCACACCTACACAGACAGAGGCTTTAACATCACGTTTACAAGTAAGTATTGAATTTTACTTCAAAAGAGATAAAGGAAAGTCTTTTAAAGCTTATCACGAAAGCCCGCCCTGACCGGATGCTTTGTATTCTAGATTGTTTGTCCATGTGTGTACAGTATGTGTGTCTGTGCGTGTGTGTACATGCAATAGGCCTCATGAATCATCTGCATTATCTGTGTGCCTGTCTCCCACAGACTGCATAAACTTCCACCCATCAGCAACACATTCCATACACACTCACCCACAGTCGCATAGAGAAATGACAAAAACCCTGTCTTTATTGTCTAAATAGAGACTTGACATCTAAATAAAACCCAAACAAAGAGGCAGCATTCTTACCTGACAGATACATTGCGGCAGTGCTCATTATATTCTATTCTGGGTAGCGGCTGACTTCTGAGGAAATTCCAGATGGGTTTTATACTCTGACGCAGTACACGTTGGCTGCATGCTGGTAAACCCATTTCATGGATATACTGTACCGTGATGGTTTGGCAACCGGATTTCTGCGTTCATTGCATATGCACTATTGTGTAATGAGCCTGATCTTTGCATTCTTTCGCATCACAATATAAATATCTCCGTACAGAATGTCTAACCCTATAAAGCCACAAAGCTATTTCATAGGTAGTTAAGGTGCTGTGGGGAGGTTTGTCTCAGTAAAACTTTGCACTAAAATTAGTTGCAGTAACTTCCTGTAATGCATGCATGCATTGCTTTCATATGGTCTAGTTTGTACTTCTGACCCTGTGTTGACAACAGTGTTTTACAGGCATTCATCTGCTTGAGAGAATATCATTGATATTTGCAGTAGTTTGTCAAGTAGACAATATATATAATGTAATTAATTGTATCATGTGTGAAGCACACATGGCCATATTAGACACTAAAAATACCATTACAGTGGTGAAACATTTATTTACATATAACATTACATTGCAAACAAAAAAACCTTGTCTTCTGTCCAAAACTTGACAAATTAAACCTTTTTGATAATCGTCCAACCAACAAAACAATTTAGAAATAAAGGACATTTTACATGTGTGGCCCCTAAATTATCACATAATGAGACTATATCATATAATGAGACAAGAATATTTAGACAAATCATATATTTTTTTTAATTTATTATTTTATTTACTTCTTATTTTTATGTGTTCATCCAGTATTCTGTGGGACTAGTATGTGAAATTACAGCATATTCAGAAGACTGAACCTGTATTCTGCTCCTAATTCAAAAAAACATTTCTGCTGTGACTAAAATAATATACCTAAGTCTGCCCAGAATGCCTTTGGGCCCTGGCTCTAGCTCATTTGCAGACATGTCATCAAACCAACCCAGGTGCTTCTGTAAAGCCAGTGTGAACAACACATGGCAACTAATGCGTTAATTAGCAAGTTAGATGAATGAATAAATAACCAATGCTGCGTGGTGAATGAACGTCAAGAACAGTTAATTGAAGATGACGGTTAGTTCCCGAGAACAGTGTCATCTAACTGCAGGACTGTTTTTAGGGGGTTGTTGGGATGAGAGGACATGTTCCATCATTCACGTTAATTAAGGACATGCCAAACTGTATTGAGGGGATTTTTGGCACCTTAATAAATAAGATGATTGTGATGGATGAGGTGTGGCTCGCACTCTGTTTGGGTCCAATGGATACAGAAGGGGGATTCATCAACACCTACATGTGTCACCTACCTGCGCGTGTGTACAAGACTGAGAGCGAGCAAGTGAGTAAGTGAGAGAGATAGTGGCGCAGGTGATGTATTTGTTTACATGCCTTGTTCCGGGGATATGCCTCTTCTTGTGTGACTGCGTTTCTCCGTGGCCTTTTTAACTGGTTCCTACTTGAAGTCCCATTGGCTTGAGGATGTATGAAAACAATTTCCCCTGTTTGTTTACTCCACCTATCATTCGGCAGTGTCGTGTGGTGCTGATGATCTGCATATGGTGGGGTTTCCCACCCTCTGGAATCACTGCAGCAGGGTGAATCAATGTGACTCACTAAGTGAAACAAATTTCTTCTTGCTAAATGCTGGCATTGCTTAATGCTGACAGTAGAAAAAAAGTTTCGTCAAGAAACTTGGGTAATTATTTTCAAATCTCCGTGGAAATTTGCATCTTTGCACAGAAAACGTAATATGTGACAAGGATTAATACCAGCAGAATTAGAAGTCTGTTATTTTTCTTGTGTCTTCAACAAGTTGACACTTTGTTTATCCGCTTCTTTTAAAAGCATTTTATTAAACAAAAGTTTTATTTTATTTTTTGCTTTTATGTTATGTGACTGAGAAGTGAAATTAGTGACTTTTATTATTATTTATCTTCTCTTTAAAAAACATTTAACACTATTGCCTCACCCTTTTGTCTGCTCTTCACACTAACCCTATCTCCTCTCTTCATTTCCAATAGCATTTCGCCACAACGAGTGCCCAGACCCAGGAGTGCCTGTTAATGGGAAACGCTTTGGTGAGAGCCTTCAGCTGGGCAGTTCCATCTCATTCCTGTGCGAAGAGGGCTTCGTTAAGACCCACGGCTCGCAAACCATCTCGTGCATTCTCAAGGATGGCAACGTGGTGTGGGACAATGCAGTGCCCCGCTGTGAAGGTGAGTAAAAGAGTCGTTACCCTTTGTAACAGCCATCCTACAACAGGTTATTGGAGTGTTTTGTGTCTAACATTTTAGCTACAAAAAGTGTTTCTTTTCTTTCGTTTTTTTTATTAGGTTGAATGGGATGAAGCCTTTTGCTGGGGACGCATATAGGTGTTTGAAAAACAACATTCTCAGATTTACTGACAGTTTTTAATATTAGTCGCAAATATTAACAAAATGAGTGGGATTTATTCCATATTTCTTTATCCAATATCACAGAGTTATGTTTGAGTTGGGATAGTTAGCTGTGTAGCTCAGAAAATCCAGATCTCACCAGAGTAAATACACAGAGTATTTAAGTCATTAAGATGAAGATGTGTATATCTAGCACCTCATTAGCTTGGTACCCACTTTGTTCTTGCTTATATACAACTGTTATAAACTGATGAAATGGGAGTTTGTTTAAATGCGCACTCTATAGCTAGTAATGTAGCATCACTGCACCATAGAGTTGTAAAGAGAGTATTTCTTCTGCACACCCAAAAGTGAATAGATTGGTGTTGATGAAAGGAGAAGACCAGAAATCAATCTGACAATGGTTTTGCTGCTCCTTGTGGGTTGCATTAATTAAATGACTACAGTTGATGCAGATATAATTAATCAATATCAATAATGGCATAAATTATAATGATAGGGATCACTGAGATCTGACTAAAGGGTGGTGATTGCTGCTAATGATACAGAATCTTTGTTCTTTCAAATATCTGATGCTGCAGACATGCTGTACTTACATACAGACTGCAGAACCATCCAGTTACTCCTCTGTGATTCAACATTCAATAAACTATTTCAAGAAAACCAGAAAAGGCCTATATAGCAGGCAAAGCTAAAATAAAGCTAGTTGTTAACCAGCTGTGTAGCACATCAAGCACAGACATGGTTAAAACATGTCACTTCCACCTGTGTGCCGCAGCAGCTTTGTATTCCTTTGAGACCATCTATCATACCCCTTCGTTCGTAGAGTAATGTGTTTTATAGATGTCCTTCAGTATGCTGAGTTGGCTGATTAAATCATTCCACTTCAAAGGGAGCGAGGAGCTGGCACTTTAACTAAGCCCTCCACTGTGCCTGTGTGTTCTGGTTAAGGATAGGCAGTTAAAGAGATGCACAGCAAGGTGAGCAGTAACAAAGATGAAGCTATGGGAGAGGGGTCGATGTGCTCAAGTGCCTTTTGTACTAGCGATCAAAGATGTCCCGTTTGCTCTATTTGATGGGGATGACAGCAGTACTTTTATAGGAGGGGTTTGAAGACAGATTTTAAGACAACAGCATAGGGGAGGAAACATAATCACACACATGGATACATAATGCATGCCCTTGCACACACATGCAATAACAGGTATGCTCTTTGGAGAAATGGTTAACCTTGAAGTGAGCTGTCACGAATTTACATCAGATGGACCCTGGCAGTTAAAGAAATGGGATGAGCCCCAGCTGATGCATGAGATCATCTATTGCTATTGTCATACATCAGCCGGGATAGACATGCATAATTCAGTCTCTATCTACTCTTTCTCTTTCTCCATTTCTTCTCTCTCTCCATTAGCCCCATGTGGAGGGGATCTGAAGGCTCCCAGTGGGATCATCCTCTCCCCTGGCTGGCCAGAACTCTATAAGGAGGCCCTTAACTGTGAATGGATCATTGAGGCTCCTCCAGGCTACCCCATCAAGATCATCTTCGATAAGTGAGTCACCCGGATAGCAACTGTTGTTGTGTCAGTGTTTTTTCCCCTGTCAGAGTGAGCTTGGATTTTTCTTGCTTTAACCCTTAAACCTTCTCGCAGTTTCATCATGTGCTCACATTTATTTCTCTGCTTTCTCACTTCTTCTTGAATCTCTTCCTCTATCTTCTCTTTCTGGCAGTAATGCATTAGATCTAATGTACATCAACATACACTGCCAACTAGGCTAATGCTATGTTTTATTTAGCAAGTGCATTTGATCCTTTCATTTGATAGCCCCCTTCCTGAAGATCAACAGATTTCCTTACTATTTACACACACACACACATACGTAGACCTGAAGGTTTGTAAATGTAATGCGTATGTAAGTGGAGCTGGTCTGTCAAGGGGAACCAGAGAGTTGGGAAAGGAGGTAATTTTTCCTGATGGTTGAGAGAGAGAGAGACACATACAATCGTACGATCAAACGCTACATTAGCTCATCCTTGCAAGCCCATCTCATCCTCATCCCTGCCATAATAACACCCCATGCAAAATGAATACAACATAAATGTTTGTTGCTCTTTAATTTTTATGTAACATCAATAAAATATCACAAACCGCTTCATTTAGATGACATGGTTCTGAAACATAAGCAATTTATTCATGGCTTTGAAGATGAAGAGTCTCTGGCAACAAAGGCGGTAACACACGAGCACGCCCTCACACACGCACGTACACACACATGCTACACAGATGCAGTCGCCAAATGTCTCAGGATTTTCTAAAACTCAACATGTGCATATTGGAAATAATTAAATTAAACCCTCCTGGATTCACAGTGTTGGTTAAAAGCTAAATATTCTGAGCTGCCATAAAGATATTCGTACTATTGTCAAAGTCTTGTTTAAATTACTGCCCATCCATCAGAATAAGCTTGATTCAATCAATCTCTTTTCTGCTGTTGGCATGGAATGCAACTTATAAGATTTTAATTGAGGCCAAATGTCATAAATATTCATTTGTTTTTTTTTGAATCTCCACACTGGTTTTCAGTTTCAGTAATATAATTGCTTGATTGGTAATCTTCCTTATTAGTTCTGAATTTCACTTAGTGTTGCCCAATTGCCCAAAAGCACATTCACCAGCTTGGCAGCCGCAGGGTAAAAATGAGCTGTAGCCCAAAAATGAGCTGTAGTGTGCCATGTTTGTGGTAATTTTGTAAAACACAATTTTTTTGTGGGTGGGAAGAGTATGCTCCATGTAAATGTTTGACAGACAGGACCCTTATCATTTCAGTTAAATATTCTGATTAAGTAGGGCATATTCCGAAACAAATTAGCAAAAAATACAACTAGCATATAATATGTGACCATCGGAGGCCTTTTAGGGTCTGGGGCCCCAGTGCGGTTATTCACTTTGTCTGGTTAGTAGTCCAGCCTTACATTTGCCACGCTGTAAACCTGACTCAGCACTGGAACTAATGAGAATTACCCATGAAACTCTAGACTAGTCTACATTTTATAGACATATTATTATATGAGAACTTTTCCTTTTTTTGGAAAGCATAAAAGTTGTTAAACTAATTTCTCTGTTTTTCAGGTTCCGTACAGAGGTCAACTATGACGTCCTTGAGGTGCGCGATGGGCGTTTTCCCTCTTCACCTCTAATTGGTAGTTACCAGGGCACCCAGGTTCCCCAGTTCCTCATCAGCACCTCCAACTTCATTTTTCTCCTCTTCTCCACTGACAAGAGCCACTCTGACATCGGCTTCCGCATACGTTACGAAAGTAAGAACTTGATAACACAAAGTCAAGCCTGCACCCAAAGATACAGGATAGATACACTGCAAAGGAAGGACTCATTTACCTGTGCTTCACACACCCTAATAGAAATGAATCTATTACAATTCAGCAACCATAAGCCTTGTTCGCTGTACTAGCAAAAGCTATTCTGTCTTGGTTGTAAATACAATCTCTGGAGGCTCTCAATTTCACCATGAAGCTGTTCTTATTAGAACACCTATAATTAGAAAGAAAATGGGGTGATATTATTCTGTCAGATATCCCTGACTTACCATGCTCAAAATTCTATATACCCTGTCACCTACACACACACACACACACACACACACACACTTTTCCCACACACCAGTCTTCACTCATGCTGTAAATTCAACCCATAAGGCAAGCCTATCCTTGTTTCTACGTGTGTGGCTCACACTAGTAACCTTTGTCTGTGGTAAATCTCTGCAAAACTTCAATAATTCACTATGGCTGCTACTTAGGCAGAAACTATGCAAGGTGGAGTGGAGAAAAGTGCAGAAACTTCTCATTGGTTTATTCTTGTTGAAAAGGATGTTCTGTTGAATTATTTATCAGGATTGTGTTGAGAAAATAAACTGCCTTTTAACATTTCTTAACCTCCAATGGACCTATTGAAAACTGTATATAATCCTAATTACATTGCAAGCAAGTGGACTTCCAGTATATGTTCCTCTGTCTTTGATAATGTGTTGCTTGTCCTGATATTTTTCTCTTATTTTATTATTATTTTTTTTTGTCCCGTTCCTCTCTAGCCCTGCAGTTACAGTCGGATCACTGCGTGGACCCTGGTATCCCGGTCAACGGACAGCGACACGGCAATGACTTCTATGTGGGCGCTTTGGTGACATTTAGCTGTGACGCAGGGTACACACTTAGTGACACAGAGCCATTAGAATGTGAACCTAATTTTCAGTGGAGCCGCCCCCTGCCAAGCTGTGATGGTACGTTCCAAAATATTGACCTAGAAATTAATAGTCTCCTGCAAGATTTCCTCATATTCATAAATGGGATTAAAGCTAAAGTCATTGTTGTATGTTGTTCCAGACGAAACATGAAAAATGGTTGAGCGCTTTATAACATCACATTTCAATTGCTATGCATATCTGAGTTATTATAAAATCCATATAAGATGGTGCTGTTACTTTCAACGACTCTTATTTTAGACTTTAAAAGTTTCTTCCTCATTTCATCATCAATGTTTTATATGTACGGTGGTGAGCTTACCCTTTGATGTTTCCCTTTTTTCCTCATCTGTAAACGCTTTTATATTAAAGGACAGTATTGATTTCTGCCCACTCTTTAATGATATTGATGATACCACTCTCTCCTTTTTATGCTGTCTTGAAGGGCATCTCTTGTAAAATGAATTTATCACATTGTAAATGCGCAGACAAGTTTTGCAATTTTTGGGGGAAATTTTATTTCTGTCTTCATCCGCTTTGTTTTGCCCTTTCTGATTTCTGCCTCTCTTCTCCTTTCTCTCCTTCATCCATATCCTGCTGTTTACATTTGCCTTGTGTCGCCAGCTTTGTGTGGCGGTTATATCCAGGGGAACTTTGGCACCATCCTATCACCTGGCTTCCCAGACTTTTACCCACACAACCTGAACTGCACATGGATAATCGAGACCTCTCATGGCAAAGGTTAGCAGAGAAATTCTGTGTCAACACATGCAGCAGTCAGATTCAATTTGCCTTACAATGTCATTTCCCCCTACTGAGTGGCCTTTTTATTTTGCCGAACAAGCTTGTCTCTGTAAGACTGAGTGCTGAGAGGCTGGCCTAGGGCTACGGCGCCACGGGACGACTCTCCAGTCATGTCACCTTTGATAGAGCGCTCGCATCAAATTGACACATCCTTATTTGTGGATGCTCTCTGTGCGTGGGTGTAATGTCTTTGATAAGTAGTAGAGGAAGAAGACAGAGGATTGATGCTGTATGCATCATGAAACTGACACTCCGGTCTGTCTCCAGTGAATATAAGTTAGTTATAAGTCATATCATTTTTTAGATTTTTTCCACACTTAAGTGAAATTCCAACTTGCAGGAATATTTTTGAACATATGCAGGATGGAAATACAAGAATTGCAATGTACTTATGGGAAAGTCAAAACTAAAAAACTAAATAAATAAACAACACAACTATTTCTACATCTCTTATTCAGGTGTCCAATTCACCTTCCACACCTTCCACCTTGAGAGCCCTCATGACCATTTGTTAGTGACGGAGAACGGCAGCTTCTCTCAGCCCCTGTGGAGACTGACAGGCTCCACACTGCCTCCACCTCTCAGTGCAGGCCTTTTTGGAAACTACACAGCTCAGATCCGTTTCCTCTCTGACTTCTCTGTTTCCTACGAGGGATTCAACATCACTTTCTCAGGTAAGAATGGATTTAGTCATTCCAAATACTGAGAGATGAAAAGAGGGATAGCCGAAAAATGCCGGTCACTGTACTGATCCATGTTTATCACCTAGAGGAGACTGAAACAGAGAGGTAGGGAAAAGGAAAAGAAAAGTAAAAACATTATGCACCTCAGGTTCTTGTTGAGGCTCCAGGGTATGGATCAAAGACCTGCTGTGACCTTTTAATAAAAAGGGTCTGTTTCAATAGGTTATTGCCACAAACAGCGAAGCTTATTTAGGAGAAGGCCATCATACACAGGGAGCATAATAATTAGAAGTCCTAGAAATATATGTAATTACAGACACTTGAGTGTATAATGAAATAGTTAACATCAAGGGAATTGATTAATTGTAAATGATTAATTTAGCACAAATGGCCCTTTACCTACTGAGAGAATCATTTCACCTCACCTCCTTTTACTCTCACAGTGTCCCTTGATTTGAACCCCAAGACATAGTAAAAAGGAATGTTCTATTAAAAATCTAATAGACCCTCACTGGCAGTTTGAAATACCAAAAACCACCAACATTTTTAGCTTTACAGGAAGGATGAAGAGCTATGGCTGAACAGACGGAGGTCTTAATGTTGAGATATATTACTCGGAATGGCCCCTCAAAGGCACATGATGCTTTATTCATTTAAATAATTTGGTGTTATGTTGTTTGGATGAGATCTTGGACATTGAGGACATTCGATTAATTTAAGCATCGTTTACCTTCCTATTTATCAGTGGGTAAAAATGTCTCAAATGCCTTTCAAACCGTGCCAGAATTCCGAATCAGCTCAATTTACACTTACACATGTTTAAACTTTGTAGGACATGACTGTGATGTGACAGACCGTAACAAAGACACAGGTTACATGATATTTCCTGTATCTCTGAACATTACATACATTTACACCTTTTCTTGTTATTCTTTCTCTGTTTTTCCAGAGTATGATTTGGAGCCATGTGAGGATCCTGGAATCCCACCCTACAGTACCAGAAAAGGCCTGCAGTACGGAGTGGGCGACGCCCTCATCTTCTCCTGTTTTCCGGGTTACCGACTGGAGGGTCCGGCGAGGGTGATTTGCTTAGGGGGCAGGAGGCGGGTGTGGAGCTCCCCTCTGCCAAGGTGTGTTGGTAGGTGGTCACATGCTTTATTTTGGCTTTTGTCACTCCCCCTCTTCCCTCCTCACAATGCCACATTGCCACACTAGCCCTTTCACATACACCCACCCATTCAGAAATGTACAAAACTGTCAGTCACGTTGGAAGACAACATACTTTCCTTTCAATTCTCCTCAACATCATCACCTCTCCATCCACCCACATTTTGTCTCTTCGTTGGATAGCTTCCCAGAAACAGCCTTTTTGACTTTGTCCAAATTATGTGGAGCAGCAGCTCTAATGAGGATGGCATTAAAGAGCTGAAATATGCTAATTATTGATGTTGCTTGTTGCTAATTCCTGGGAAACAAGACTAGTCAAACTGCAAAGATTTAGGTCAGTATGTTGACTCTATAATGCACCAAATCTTAAGAGCTGCAGTAGTGTGTTGATAATGAAAATGAATTGTGTCCTAACGATCGACCTGCTCGTGTTTGTCCTTAGCATGGCTCTTTTCAGCATATCCAAAACACTCTTAAAAACATAACTGTGACACAACTGTGAACTGCTTGACCTGCTTTATGAGCGTATTTTCACAACTTGCACAGTTTTTGGTTTTTAAACTCATAAAGTAATTTAAAATAAGTTATTATGATTTTGACAGTCTAATACCAGTAATTGCTGTTTAATAAATACAAATTGCCAAAGTCACATTTATTTTCCTCACCCACAGCAATAAAATCTGGTTTGTTTCTAAATTTTTGTTTTGAGTTTTTAGGCATGTGTAAAGTAGGTCAAGCTATTTCCTTATAAAATGGTTTGCTCGTGTTCTCATTACATATTTATCTGTAGGAATAAAGATGCTAGTTTGTAGTTTCTTGGTCTTTTTTTGCCTCAAGATAAATGCAAATTTTTAAAGGTTGACAGTGATGTGACACATTTTGTTACACTTCTGGCAATCATATTCAGCCTTATTTTAAGTCCCACCGCCTCACCTCATCTTACCTCATTGCATTCATGAAGTTAAAACTCTGTAGAAAACTTTGCCCCACCTTTTTACTTTTCCACTGTTTCCCTGATGTGATTCAGAAAAGGCAATTTTCAAATGGAGTTGAAATTACTGTTAATCATATTCAGATTGCATTGCGATTATGATGATGTGCCACTCAGCATTCAGGTACAGTCATTGACCATATTCTTCTCCCCATCACCTCTCCCATCTCCCTATGCATGATAGCATGAATAAATACACTCTGAGTTTCAAGCATATAGCCATTGACATGTCCTCTGCTCTCTCCAACACCACCACCTTTTCCCTACCTTTGTCCTTCTCTTTCTCTCTGCTCCCCCTCTTTTTCTCTAGCTGAATGCGGCTCATCCGTGACTGGCATGCAAGGGGTGCTGCTCTCACCCAACTACCCCGGTTACTACGGCAACAACCACGAGTGCATCTACTCCATCCAGACGCAGCCGGGCAAAGGCATCCAGCTACGAGCACGAGACTTCAGACTGGAGGAGGATGACATGCTCAAAGTGAGGGGGTGGGGGGAGTTGCGCCCTCCCCGTGTGTGTATGCAGCCTTGTTAGTGTATCTGTGAATGCCCACCTGATCATCTCAATCCAGCTTCCTCCCACTCTCCCTCCCAGGTCTTTGATGGCAGCAGTAATAAGGCTCGTCTGCTGGGGGTGTTTACAGGCAGCGAGCTGCTAGACACAACCCTGAACTCCACCTCCAGCTCCATGTGGCTGGAGTTCATCAGCAATGCGGATAACACCAGTAAAGGCTTTGAACTGCACTTCATTAGTGAGTGACACACAAACACGCACCCACCTTTCTTTACATTTGATATTTACATTTTAGTAAAGTTTGTTTGCTTAAATCTCATTCTCCAACCCTCTTTGTTGCCTCCTACACATACAGATCACATTCGCACTTTGTTCTTCAATACCTTCCTAACCCTTTTGTCTCCATTTCCCCTCTCTGTCTCTCCAAGGTTTTGAGCTGGTGAAATGTGAGGATCCAGGTGTTCCGCAGTTTGGCTATAAGCGGGAGGACAAGGGTCATTTTGCAGGGAGCACTGTGTCGTATAGTTGTGACCCAGGCTACACCCTGAAAGGCCCCGAGGTGCTCACATGCCTGAGGGGGGAGAGGAGGGCATGGGACAGCCCCCTCCCACTGTGTGTTGGTGAGTCAAGTGCTCCTTGAAGGGGTTTGGGATCAAGTGTGTCTATGCTTTTGGCAGAATTATTAGTTTATTTGCCAATTTAATTCTGGGTTCTGCTAATTTTGTAGCTAATTTGTTTTGCATTACAAAAGTAAACAAAAGTATAGAAAGTACTCATTATGCAGAATGACCACTTTCTGAACATTATCATGTTGGATTATTATTATTATGATGCAATAACATGCAAGCAGCAGTTTAATGTTGCAGCTGGCCAAGTTGTAGCAAAATAACTTACATTTTGTTGGTAGTCAGTTGAAAAAAGTTATATGAACTAATGTTTTATATGGAATAAAAATTGCAAATGAAATCTAACTAGTAGCTAAAGTTGTCAAAGAAGTCTAGTGAAGTTTAAAGTAGCATAAAATGGAAATACTCTAATAAATGACAAGTGCTTCAAAATGTTATTCAAGTACAGGGCATTAGTGTACTTAAAGTATTTTAGAGTTTTTATAAGAGGAGTTTGTTATGTTGGAGTAACATTAGGAAATAAACTTTGCCTCTCCAACACTGACTCACATTTCTACCGGCTTCTTCTTGCAACAACTGGTGTCACCGAGAGTCACTCATAGGGATCCTCTGCATGATGTTGTCAGACACCTTGTATAAAAGTCTGAGCCTGTTGTTGGCAAAAACAAGCACTTTTTGTGGATGTAATTTTGACATGCGCAATTGCCACCACTGCAGCTGGTTCGCAGCTGCTGTCTGAAATCATCTGTTGCACAGGTACCAAAACATTTTGTACCAAGTACTAGTCATTTTGACACCAAAATATGTGAAAATAGGTTTAAAATACCAAAATTATTCTTAAAATACTTTTCTTTGCCAGTGCAGGTTTAGAAAAGTTTTGTGGTTTGTTTTAGCTCTTTAGCTAAGAGCGTTATCTCATTGAAAATGACTCTGCTCTATTTAGCTCCTCATATTCATATTGCATCATTTTTTAATTTAATTCTGCATAGACAGGTTTTTAACCCCTAGCTGTCGGAGGTGGAAAGACTTTGAAAGTCAACTGTACGGAGATCATTTCTCCATTAACGTTTAGCAGAGGCTATACTAATCTGATCTTTTTTTAATTTATTTTGAGTTCACCTTTAACTTTTTGCCAGCTGACACAAATAGTATACGTTATTATATTCAAAACTATTAAACTGACATACGTACACACACATGCTGCCTATATGGTGTCATGGTAACAAACCCAAAGCAATGTTTTGAGTCTTCTCCTGGGCAATATTTTGACAGTCTCTCAGAAGCCAGCCAGAAGCTCGGTAAGGAAAACAGGCAGGATACTGCTTTTTGACATCAGCCAAGGTGATTAGAATAATATTGCTTGGCTCCGGTTTCAACCCAAACTGACAGGTAATTTCATGTCTGGGTACAAAAAACATTCAGCATACTGTATATCTCTGAACACGTTTGTCCTCCCCATGCCCCTTTCACTGCAGATGATGGCCTAACAGCCAGAGTGAATTTGGGAGCAGATGAGGGACTGTTTGTGTTTGTAATGGTGGGATTATTTTCTAGCACCAAGGACACACTGAACACAGATGGGAAGGGTATAGCGAGGAGGGAAGGGGGGGAAATGAAATTGAGTTGAAAACAGTTGGGAGAGTTCACATCCTGAAGGTCACAGAAGAAGAACGTTGCAAGGTTTAGTTGTAAAACTGGTTGTATGCTATTGACACTTAATTTGTGCATAGTCAGTTTTGATAATTACATATAAATGTCTTTTTTTATAGCTCACCACACATTTCTACATATTAATGGATAACTGACAGTACATAGTTTTTGTATGGTGCTTCAGTAAAATGTTATATGTTTGATTTGCAAGGAGTCTCCTAGATGTTCAATGTTCCATTTCCATAAATTACAAGACACACACATATAATTTGATCATGCACATGCACGTTGTCTTGTACAGGGGGAAATTTAATCTACTTTGAGAAGAAGGTAAGACAAAAATAGAGGCACAACCTGAGTTGTTTTAGAAAGATGTATGTGGATACTGGAGGGGTAGAGTAGCTGAGGGAGATCCACTGTCATGTCAGCACTGAGCAGTAGTTTCTTAGGTCATAAGGCTGGAAGAAAGAGATGACTTTGTCTTACTGTGATAGATCACCGTCTTCTCTTTTCACCCCATGAAACACGCTTTCTTCAACAAGAAAAGCATAACAGAGGGGGGGGGACTTTGAGAGACTAAAACCTCAGCAGTGTGAAGATTGATACGTTCATTTTTGTATATTTTCCCCCTCCTTCCAAGACAGTAAAAGCAAAAATGACAGTCAAATCTTTAAGACATTTTTTGCAACTAAGCATGTAGTCTATTTACAGTATGTGCCGATGTGTGCATGTGTATTGTTTCATGTGTTTATGCTTTGACAGCAAAAATGATCAGAGGCCAGCCCTGGTGATCACTGCTGTTTAAATGCGTGAGGGAGATGGAGAGTCTGAAGGAGGGAGACACAGAGAGAAACAAAGGAAAGATTTATTTGCAAACATGAGGAAATACATGTTTATCAAAAGGAAGGTGCTTTTTTTCTGTCCAATGTGTATGGAGAAGCCACAGCTTGTCCCTGTCTGATGGTCTGTTACCCTGTATGTGTGTACACTGCAGTATTTTTATGTAGTTAGTTGCTTAGTGGCTTACTTCCTTCTTGCCAGGATGCTTCTGTTTGTGTGTGTCTGCCATTGTTGCTGTATTTCAGTACAGGGTCTACTTGCCACAGATGGATTTCACACCCATCATCCTGAGTATGATTCCTCCGTTTTCCTCCTGTTTGAAGGATATATTTTTCTCTCAGGGGAAGGAAAAGAAACAAGAACACTTTTATCCTCCTCTTGTCAGTTGAGATGGCCTCAAAATTGTGAACAAAAAACACTTGAAGTCAGATGTTGTTGGGGAACTTTTTTTTTTTCATTAACTTTTGGATAAGGGTAGGAGGTGGTAATTGAAGGGGGGGCTGAAAATTGCTTTTCAGTCACAGAGCGTTTCTGATGGCAATTCATTACTTGAGACTGAAAAAAAACTCCCCACTGTTCTTGACAAAAAGCTTTGGCCTCTAATTTTGCTTTGTAGTTCCAGTGATGTGTGTTTATGTTGTTGTTATCATGGATGTGTGTTGTATACCTCAGGGAGGGGGTGCGGTGGGGAGGCTTGTTGAAATGTGATATGATACTAGAAGCCATATTGTCTACTGCTACCACAACTACAGCATCCGTAAGCACCCTCAGTGACATTCAAGTGATTCATGAAAAGTCTTCCACTCTCTTGGTATGATCTGTTGTCTACCATGTTGCCCAGTAGATACTAATATCAGCAATATTTCCATTAAGGCAACTTTGTATCTGTTCTGTACAAACGTGCATTATATAGCTTTCCTGACTGATACCTGAACTTATACTGAAGCGTTTGCCTTATCTGTCGAAAAGTCTTTGTTAAAGGTTGCACTGAACTTGAGTCTAATATATTGAATGTTGTTGTTCAGTCAACAAGTCCATCAACTTTCAAAGGCAACAGGATGAGGTCATTGGTTGAGATGGTGGATTGCCTTTGCTGAGCCAAGGAGATACACATAGAGTATATTAAGTTGGCTGCTCTCCCTCCCATCATTCAAATTGCAAACAAGATGATAAAGCACATCACATTTGAGCATATGACTACTATGTCAATAATTAATAATGATGAGAGGAAACTGATGATGCACTTTACTGGAAGTTGGATGATGCAGCTTCTGGTATGTTAAGTATGTTAACTTTTTCTTCATTTGACTTTCAGATCATTGATGAGCTTGTACTTATTTTGCTCTTGCATGTTTTACCCTCTTTACTCCTACTCACCATTCACCCCCTTAATCTCTCTGTTTCTCTTTTCCCTCCTCTTTGTAGCGGAGTGTGGGGGTGCCATCAAGGATGAGCCTTCTGGTCGTATCCTGTCTCCGGGCTACCCAGCTCCATATGAGCACAACCTGCACTGTATGTGGACCATTGAGGCGGCCCCTGGAAGCACTATTAGGTCTGAACACACTCTTTGTTTCCTTGTTCGTGCGTTGTAGTTTTCTGATTACATTGTTCTTTTCCAAGCTTTCTTTCAATCTACCACCTTTCAATATACTTCCAATTTAGCCCCCCTTTTTGCAGTGGTATTCATCACTTTTACAGGTTGCTGTGTAATCAATCTTCAAAGAGCTGCTATTGTGCTATAGTTGAGTTACTTCTGGGTGAGGAGGAATGCCACCTCCAAGCATCTAGGTTTCAGACTACACCGAAGGAAGTTAAATTAATAAGTTATTTTATGCTTTAATACAGTACTGTGCAGGCGTGGTGAATACTGTAAAGTAAGAATGCTATACACATGCTAATAGACATGTTAATCATTTATATTTATATTAACAAAATCCTAAGTGAGTGAACAAAAGAAAAATCTAAATCAATTAAAAACTTGGTGTGACCCCTTTTTGCCTTCAGTACTACAATCATTAACATAAAAAGAAACAGCTGTGTAGGAGGAATGCAATTGGCAGCTAAAGTCAGCTAACAAAGTGAGGTTGCTGAAGACAGACTGTCAGAAGTCATACACCGTGGCAAGACTGAGCAGAGCAACAAGACACAAGGTAGTTCTACTGCATCAGCAGGTCTCTCCCTGGTAGAAATTTCAAGGCAGAGAGGTTTCCAGTTGTGTTGTCCAAGCTGAAGCACAAAGAAAGGGGCTGCAGCAGATAAAAAGACCCATCATGCTTACACCCATTCACCACTGGAAGATGTTCAGCCGTGCCATCAGCTCAGAAATGGCAAAAAACAGTGGGACCCAGGTATACCTATCACCCACCCACCCGAGTCTGGTGAGCAGTGGTCATCATGGAAGACTGGTGGCCAAAAAGCCATACCGCCGACATGGAAACAAGGTCAAGCAACTTAGCTATACACAAAAACACAGGAGCTGCAGGAAAATGGCAGCAAGTGCTGTGGATAATTAAGTCAAAATGTGCATTCATGGCATACTTTCAAGATGTTGGAAACAATCCTCAGAGATATTGGTCTATTTTGACATGATAGCATCACACAGTTGCTGCAGATTTGTCGGCTGCACATCCATGATGCGAATCTCCCGTTCCACCACATCCCAAAGGTGCTCTGTTGGATTGAGATCTGGTGACTGTGGAGGCCATTGAAGTACAGTGAACTCATTGTCATGTTCAAGAAACCAGTTTGAGATGATTTGAGCTTTGTGACCTGGTACATCATCCTGCAGGAAGTAGCCATCAGAAGATGTGTACACTGTGATCATAAAGGGATGGACATGGTCAGCAACAATACTCAGGAAGGCTGTCGCGATTAAATGATGCTCAGTTGGTACTAAGGGGCCCAAAGTGTGTCAAGAAAATATCCACCACACCACCAACACCAGCCTGAAACATTGATACAAAGGAGGATGGATCCATGCGTTTATGTTGTTTACTCCAAATTCTGAACCTACCATCTGAATGTCGCAGCTGAAATTGAGACTCTTCAGACAAAGCAACCAATCTGCTATTGTCCTATTTCGGTGAGACTGTTCAAATTGCAGCCTCAGTTTCCTGTTCTTATCTGACAGGATTGGTACCCAGTGTGGTCTTCTGCTGCTGTAGCCCGTCTGCTTCAAGGTTCAACATGTTGTGCATTCAGAGATGGTATTCTGCATACCTTGGTTGTAATGAGTGGTTATTTGAGATACTGTTACCTTTGTCATCTTAATCCAGTCTGCCCATTCTCCTCTGACCTCTGACATTAACAAGGCATTTTCGTCCACACAACTGCCGCTCACTTTGATATTTTATATTTTTTATATTATTCTCTGTAAACCCTAGAGACGGTTGTGAATGAAAATCCCAGTAGATCAGGAGTTTCTGAAATACTCGGACCAGCCCGTCTGGCACCAACAACCATGCCACGTTCAAAGTCACTTAAATCCCCTTTCTTCCCCATTCTGATGCTCGCTTTGAACTTCAGCAAGTTGTCTTGACCACGTCTACATGCCTAAATGCACTGAGTTGCTGCCATGTGATTGGCTGATTAGCTATTTGTGTTAACGAGCAATTGAACAGGTGTACCTAATAAAGTGGCTGGCGTGTGTGTGTGTGTGTGTGTGCATACTATACTTTTTAAGAAGATAAAGATGAATATTGAACTCTTAACCGTGGTGGTATTACTGTTATTCTCTATCCTACTTAGGACTGCAAGCATGTTAAGACCAGTGTCAGTCAAATATCAACATGCTTATGATAACTTCCATGTTTGACATCATTGAAATGGATGGCCACTAAGCCTGAAGAATCAAGCAAAGTGTGTTGAATGTATTCAGAATATTAACTGTGTTTAGGCATTTTCTTGAAGCAGCAATGTAAACTAATGTAATAATCTTGTAAGCCTAGGTAATTTAAGGAACAGTGCTCCACAAGGAGCATTCTGTTAAATCCAAGTACATGTGTATATGAAGGAGCATGTGGAAGAATCAGAGAACACAAAAGATGGTTTAAGTCTGAGGGCTATAATCTCTCTCTCTCCTCATAAAGTGGATTACATTTTCCAGCACATCACATGCTCGTCAGAGTGGAACATGTATGTACTATATATACTATCCTATAAAATCCTTTGTTGTGATGCTCTGTACTCTGTACTGCACATTGGAATCATAGTGCTTTTTGTATACATTCTACAAACATAGTTCAACAATTTTAGGGGACAGGAAGTACTTTCACAGTTCAATATGAACTTAATTAAAAGTTTATGTCTACAGACATCATCAGAAGATTGGTATCTATCCTAGTAATCTCTGACAGGCTTTTATCACAGCCAGTACTTGCTTGTTCCAGGCACGTTTTAAGCTTCAATTTGGACATTATTTCATTTGGATTCCAATGTGTATAAATCCAACACAATGAAAAACATGTCCTAATACTTTCACACTGCACTGTATAGTTTTTTTTGTTTTTGTTGTTGTTCACTGTACCATATCATTTTACATAATAGTTCTGTGGTTGTCTGCATGGATATGTTTGTGTGTGTGTGCTGTCTCATAGCTTGAACATCTGACATTCCTAGGTCCCTCATGATTGCTAGTTTAGGTTCATTAGTGCCTTCACTACCTCTGGGTCGATGGCATTCCTCTGCAAGGTATGCTCCATATCCATGCCTTTGATCCCACCCTCGCAATTCATTATTGCAAAGAATTTGCAATGCATTAGCCCGGGGAGTCCTTGTATATCAAATGGTGTAGTTGAAGGTAGCACAATAATCAAACTGTACTAAGTTTGTGAAAGAACAGGAGAGTTATTGATGGAAAGAGAATATAGGTGGGAGGCAGATTGTGGAATACAGATATAAAGAGATAATAACAATATAGAAGGAATAGAGGTAAGGGAGGCAGTGTGCCATTTCACAGGTGGAAAATCCAGTGGTTACTGCTGCAGAGATCATAGGAGGGATTTAGGCCACATGGTACACTAAACAATGAAGCCATACATATTCATCTAAAATTGGTATTTAGTAAGAAGCACGCCCTCTAATTTGAGAGCTCCAATGTTGTACAACATGTTTGATTGTGTAGGTCATAATACTGTATGGTGCTGTTTTGACTGTTTCACAAGGCATCAATAGGACTTACACAGTAAATAAAGAGCGGGGAGCCCATTCTAATTAGGCCCGTAGTTGAACTCTGTCTATAGTTCATTTTGGTTGTGGGGGGATGAATAATTGGCTTTGTAATCCCTCCTCTGTTGGTTTTCTGTTTCTTTTATCATGACCTTCTCTTTCACATACTTCTGTTGCACAATAAATCAGTGCGTATTAATATCCAACCTACTGATAATTTGAGGTTATTGTGAACTTCCATCAAAGATTGCATATTACAGTACAGTATAACGCAGAGAGAGGTTAGAAAAGAGTATGATTTCACTCAACACCTTTAAAGGGAGAGTTTACAGTGAAAACCAAATGTTCAATGCGAATCCAGTTACTTTGGACTGTAATGTTGAACTCCATAACCATTGATATCTCTTGAGAGCTGAATTACAAAATGTCTTCATATCCTCAGCAAATCACAATTGGGGTCTGTCACAGTGTCTTAGTAGTTGTTCACTTGTTTGCTGTCTACAAAGCAGCAGCAGGATTTGTCTCTAGATAAGATCAGAAGTACTTTCTGTTCTTTCTGGTCTGTTTTCTTTCTGTACTTGTTCTAGAATGATAAAATCTGAGTTCTAAAATAGTCTTTGGAAATAACATCATATAATGTACATTCTTTACAGATCCATATAAACCACTTTTCCAATGCAATGTATCCCACATTTGTCTTCCTCTATCACATAAATAGTGCCCCCAGTCTTAAATTAATATGCACATATATTCCACTGGGTTTGCACAGCCCAAAACAAAGTTTAATTTTTTATGTATCTCTAGTTTGTTCACTTGTGTGTGCTTCTGTTTCTTCCTGAAGCAATTTGTGTTTTGAACCACTCAAAATATGGATTCATTTCAAACAGTGAAGTTGTATTTGCTTGAGTATAGCTAATTGAATTGTGGTAGTTCTACATTTGAATTAAATTCAAGTAAGTGAAAGATTTGAGACTGGTTATGGTTAAGGATAAGGTTGAGTGCCTTCTCGTCTCTAGAATCTACACTTAGGCATAGAGTCACTTGATTCGATTAAGTTATTGGAAGACAGATTTGGGGCAGGAAATAACGTGAGGCCTGCGATGTACTGGCGACCTGTCGAGGGTGTACCCCGCCTTGCGCCTGATGTCAGCTGGGATAGGCTCCAGCCCCCCCGCGACCCTGTATGCAGGATAAGCGGTTGACGATGGATGAATGGATGAATAACATGAGGTTTGGGGAGAGATTCTGGGAAGAGTACACATCTCATCTATTTGTGCAAAGCATGGCCTGATACAATATAAAGTGGTGCACCACACTCCCTGATCTGTAACAGATGTCATCAGGACCCTGCCAACTATGCATATGCTCTGGCTCTGTCCATCCTTG